GGTTTAGAAAGACAAAGGTCACAGGTTTCCTCTCATATGTAGAAGATCCAAAAGGTAAATGTATACATACACAAATATAAACATGATCATATGCACATTTATATACAGAACATGTTTATAATAGTAGGACTGTTTGATGGGACTTGGGGAAGAAGGGAGAGGAAAATAAAATGATAGTGAACAATATTGAAATATATTGCATTGCTAAGGGAAGGTGGCATAACGAAACACGCTGTTGAATAAGAGGGGGTGGGGGAAGGGAAGGAAGAGAAATAGAAGGTTAATCTGACTAAAGTACAGTGTAGGCACAGTTGAAATACCATTGTGAAATCCCTTTGAGCAATGAATACGGACTTTAAAAATGAAGGACAGGATGGTAAAATGGGTCCTGTGAGGGAGTGGGTACTTGTGGGAGGGAGAAGGATGAATGAGGGGATAAAGGCAGGTGAATATGGTTGATGTACCTTATATACTAATATGGAATAGAACAATGAAACCTGTTGTAATTGTTTTGTGGGGATGGACCTAACTGAGGCACTTCGTAAGGGTATACGAAAATGTCACTGTTAGGGTGAACAAAAAGAAGCCACCTAGGATTGGACCCCCCCCCCCGCACTGTTGCGGGTAGCTTACTGACACCTCACCTCCCACTGGAAGGACCACATCTAGCCTCAAGGAAATGACAAGCCACCACCTCGCCAGGGGCTCCAGAGCTGAGCAACTTCTCTAGCTAGTTACTGCTTGTCTCCTCTAGCTTTCCTTAGTGGTGGCTGACTCCACTCTGGAAGAATTTTCCCACCCAGAGGGGTTTCCCCTCCAGATCACTCCCCTATATCTACTCCAAGTCCATAAGAGGCTGAGGGCTCCAGCTCTCTTGCTGGGGTCCCCTCTGCAGGGCTCCTTCCCCAACAATAAACCCTGTGCTGGCCTCTGAGGGTCTCTCTGCCTCTGCCATGCTCTTTCATTTCTAACAGTCACAGTTAATGCTTCCTAATGTGTACTAATAAAAATACTTTAAAAAAATGTGGCCCTCAATTGCACTGAAAGTGTCTGTAGAGGAGGAGAAAACTTTCCCCCTGCCCTCATATATTCAGTGCCTGTACCTGCAAATTAAAATGGATAAATGGCAAATTAACAGAAGAAAAGGTTTATTTTGTATACACACGAGGGGCTCAGGAAAAAGAAGTAAAACCCCCAAAAGTAATTAGTCCTGACAACTTACAATACATTTCTTTTTTTGTTTTGTTTTTTGGTGTTACTGGGGCTTGAACTCAGGGCCTCATGCTTGGTAGGCAGGCTCTCTTCCACTTGAGCCATTCCGCCAGCCATAACATTTCTTTAGAAGGGTAATAATTTGTGGAGAACTGAGAAGGTAAATATTTGGATAGCTCTAACATAACATAAGGGCTATGTTTGTTCCGTAGATTTAAGTCCTGCTCTAGTGGGAAGAGCCATCTTCTACCCTGGTGTGGCAGGGATGAGAGAAGACACCCTCAAAAAGGACGTGTATGCTGTTTACAGGCAGAAAGAGGGAATTCCTCCCATGTCTGCTGCCTATTAACTGCCTTCAGCTTAAAATAATCCTAAACCAAAGAGTCAGAATTTAGGGTGTCACATTGTCATCCCCTCCATGTCCAACAGTCCATGGAAACAGAAACAGATGGGAAAGGAATGATTTTGAAGGCCCCCTGTAGGAAGTTTTTTAAAATCAAGTTTGGAGCCTTGGATGTATTATCTGAGACCTTTTAGTATTTTCTTTTCCTTCTTTGTCTGTTGACTAAAAATTATGGTAAAATTCTCATAAAATTTACCATGCTAGTCATTTGTAAGTGTTGAAGGGCATTGATTACATTCATTTGTTGTGAAATCACCATCATCACCTATTCTCCAGACCTTTTTTCTCCTAGTAAAAACTGGAGACTACACACACTGAACGCTGAATCCTCACTCACTGCTGCTCCTCCCCAGCCTCTGGCAACCAGAATTCTACTTTCTGTCTCTTTCAGTCTATTGAGGGACAGTACGTAAATTGAGTTACACAGCATTTGTCCTTTTGTGACTGGTTTACTTTTTTCAGCATAAACAATGTCAGTGGTTTCATCCATTTGTGGCACGAATCAGTTTTCCTCTTTTCTTAAGGCTGGTTCACTGAATGTACACACCACAGTTTCTTTACCCTTCACTGATGGACATTTAAATCGCTTCAACTTTTGGCTACTATGAAAACTGCTGCAGTGAACATGGGTGTACAAATGTCTGAGTTCCTGTTTTCAGTTTGTTTGGGTACATACCCAGGAGAGGAACTGTTAAGAGTACATTAATAAAATGCTAATTTTTTTCCTTGGCAGTCTTGGGGTTTGAACTCAGGGCCTTCTGCTTGGTAGGCAAGTTCTCTACCACTCGAGCCATGTCCCCAGCCCCTTTTGCTTTAGCTTATTTTTAGGACAGTGTCTTGCTTTTGCCAGGGGCCAGCCTTGAAGTGTGATCCTCCTATCTCTGCCTCCTGAGTAGCTGGGATTACAGTTATCAGGACCATACCTGGCCCTTATAATTCTATTTTCAATTTTTTGATGAGCCACACTGCTTTCCTTAGTGGCATTTCTACCAGTTGTGCACAAGGTCACAACATCTCCACATCCTTGCCAATGGTTGCCACTTTCTATTTTGTTTACAACAGCCATTCTAATGAAATGTGGAGTGGGATCTCATAGTGGCTTTGATGTACATTTTTCTAATGATGGGGAGCCTCTTTTCACATGCTTATTAGCCATTTGTATATTTTCTTGGGAGAAATGTCTACTCAAGAGTTTTGCCCACTTCCTGCTTTTTTTTTCTTTTAGAAGGGTGGATACATAATTCAAATTTAGGAGATGATAGCTACTAACAAAACCCTAGAGGTAAATCTGTTGACTATTTGACTTTAAATTTCTTGCAAACTGTTTATTGTAAGTAAACAATCTCTAATTTTTTATTTAAAAATTAAAATTGTTTTTGGTGGTACTGGGGTTTGAACTCAGGGCTTTTACCCTGTGAGGCAGGCACTCTATTGCTTGAGCCACAACTCCAGCCCTGAAAATTTAAATTTTTTAAAGTTGTAAAGAATAGTTCACTAACAGAAAACTGTGTATAAGAATACAGTTTGAATTTTTGCAAATGGACACTTGTGAGTACCATTACCTTGGGCACAGAGGTATAAGTGCATCCTGGAAGGCCCTCTTCTGGTCACTAACCCCTCCAGTCACTATCCCCTGCCCACAGGGGATTAGTTCTAATGCTTACATTTTAGGTTTCTGTACTTTATAGTGATAAAAGGAAAATTCTGAGCTGTCTTAAACTTAATTACAAGGGAGAGAGGACAGGGGTGAGAGATAAGGGACACCAATCATCTAACAGCTATGGGCCCAAACCACCAAAAGACAGTTCCACTTGCCTGAATGTACATTGAAACCTTGAGTCAAAACCCAAGGCAGCTGACCCCTGTGTCTCACTGTTCTGGTTCTGCCTACAATGGACTTTCCTGACCATTAACCCTGACCAAACTGGAGGCAACCCATCCCTCTTACCAAAGTCAATGTAGATTCACTATAAAGAATTTGTGTTCTTCTTCTTCTTTTTCAAATTTTCATTTTAAAAATACTCTTGGGCTGGATGCTGGTGGCTCACACCTGTAACCCTCGCTACTTGAGAGGCAGAGATCAGGAGGATGGCCGTTCAAGGCCAGCCTGGACAAACAGTTCGTGAGACCCTATATAAAAAATATCCAACACAGAACTGGGCTGACGGAGTTGGCTCAAGTGGTAGAGCTCCTGCTTAGCAAGTGCAAGGCTCTGAGTTCAAACCCCACTACCACCAAAAGAAAAAAAAAGAGAGAGAGAGAGAGAAAATGATCTTGTGGTTGAGGAACTTGTCCTAGGACCAGGCCCTTTGTTTCGTCGGGCTGCATCTGTGATGGCTCAATTAAACCCTTTTATTTCATAGAACCCTAAGTCTCAAGAATTTTGATTTAACAATAGAAACAGATCAGGCATAGTGGAGCACTGCTGTAGTCCCAGCTACTGGAGAACTCGAGAAACCCGTCAACAACAAAAAGGCTGGAGGAGTGGCTCAAGCGGTAAGAGCGCCTGCCTTGGGTTCAAACTGCGGTGCCGCCAACAAACAAACAAACAAACAAAGAAACTGGGCTGCACCCATGGGGATGGGAAGAAGCAACAACAAAGGCGGAGGCAAGTGGATCTGCAGTTCCAAGTCAACCTGGGTTGCACAGCAGCACCGATTCTCAAACCAAAGCGAAGGACCAATGAGCAGAACAAGAGAGGAAAAGAGAGGAGGGAGAGGCGGAGGGAGACGGAGGGAAGGCATGGGGAAGGAGGGAGGAGGAGAAGAGGGCAGGAAGGAGAGGAGGCAGGGGAAGGAGGGAGGGGACCTGGGCTGGCTGGGTCCCCATCCCGCCACCATCGCCACCCGCAGGTCCCATCGCGACAACCGGTGCAGCTCCCGCTTTACTTCCTCGGCAGAGAGGAGTGCTGTCACTCCATGGCCTTGCCAGCACTTGGTATTTTCGATCTTCTTCCTGTTTTCTTTTCTGTCCTATTTGAAATACACAGGAACAGTTCTTGGTTTGGGGCCGGTCCTCTGAGGTGTTGACTCTCTCGGGCTTCTTCGTCTGGTCAAAGCCAGCCCGCCATGTGACTTTGCAGGACATTCTGCTCACCGCCGCTGCCATATCAGCTAGGTCACACAATAAGGCGCGAGTCCCCGGGGGGTCAAGACCTTGGACACGAGGGGACTCGCGAGTCTCCCGCAGGGCCGGAGCGGGGCGGGCCTTGACGGGGCGGAGCCTCGCGGGGGCGGAGCCAGGCGAGGGGGCGGGGCGCGAGGTGCGCACGCGCAAACCGAGCTGGGCGCAGAGCCCCGCGCATGCGCCTCAGCCCGGCGCTTCGCAGAGGAGGGGAGCGCGTCGGTCTCCGCGCCCAGCCCTGCCCGTTGGAGCCGCTGCTGAGCCGCTGGGTGTGAGCCCTGGATACCGGTAAAGTTCGTGAGGAAATCTTAATCCTTCTTAGCGGAGCAAAAGCCGTGCGAGCCCGCCAGGCGGTCCCCCGGGTGCTGGGCGCCTGGGGCAGCGGCGTTGGCGGTTGCGCCGCGACCGGGAGGCGCCGGCGGCCGGACGGTGAGTGGCGGCTGGCGCGTCCCTCGCGGGCCCAGGACCCCGCCTCCTCGGGGCCCGGGATGCGCTGCTGTGGGGCGGGGAGGGCGGTGGGGCTCCGTCCGCTCCCTTGGGCGGCGGTCCCCGGGGTCGCCGGGCGGGCCGAGCCCTGCTCCGCACCCCACATGCGAACCGGGCGCGGCCAAGCGGGCCCCGCGTTCCCGGGGCTGGGCGGGACGAGGGTCGCCTGCGCCGCCGGCGTTTGCACTGTCCCACCCCGCGGCCTCGCCACTGATCTCTTCCTGACTTGTAGCCCACTCCGTCGACGCCCAGGTTTCTGTGTTTGTGTCCAAATGTAATCATGCTTGTTCTCAATAACAGTGAAAGGAAAGAATCCTCTTTTGTGGTGGGACTGGGATTTGAACTCAGGACTTAGCGCTTGCAAAGCAGGTGCTCTATTTCTTGAGCCAGTCCTCTCCCCGCCCCCTCGCCCCAAATCCTTTTTTAGTTTATTAGACTTCACTGGCTGGCAAGAAATTTAAAAATTAAGTTTGTGGGGATAGGGGGTTTATATAATGTGTTACTGTCAGGGTTTTTAATTATTATACTCAGGCATATGCTTTTCAAAGAACCCGGTTGTTTTCACACAGTGTTTTAAGTCTGTAGCGTCTGAGACTTTCCGCTAAATTGCCTGTGTTAATGCTTTCACTTTTTTCTTTATATGTTCTTGTTTTTTAAGTTATTGTATGGTAAACGTGACCTTTCAAGGGGGGTACACGGGGGATTAATGTAACCACCAATGTCGCCAGTAGGTAAAACAGTTGCAATACCCATGAGAAACTCACTCTCCCTTTCACCCCAAGCCCTGGCAGTTGCTGTTCTTTACAAAGTATCTTTGAAGGGGAATGGTAACAATATGACGCCTTTGGATGCTGGCTTGTTAGAGCGCAATGCCTTTGCGATTCCTCCCAGGTGTCCCATGTATGGATCATGCCTTTTTTATTGCTAAGTAACATTTCATTAGGTTGATGCACTAAATCCCTCTGCTCATTTACACCCCCACCCACTGAAGGGGATTTTGTGAGAACTAAGTTTTCATCTCCCTAAGGCACCTCAGTGCGTGAGATTTCAGTATTAGACAGGAAATATTCATGTAACTCTTAAGGACCCCTCCAGCTGTTTTCCAGAGTGGCTGCCTCACTTTGCTTTCCACCAGCAAGAGTTCCAGTTCCTCCCCACCACTTGGTATTGTCAGTATTTTAAAATTTAGCCGTTTTGCTAGTTGCATAGTGATATCTCATTGTGGGCTTTTTTTTTTTTTAATAATCTGTCTCCCTTTGTAGTCCAGTCTGGCTTCAAACTCGAGGTCCTGTCTCAGTTTTCCCAGTGCGGGGATTACAGTTGTGTACTACAACGCCTACCTTCATTGAGGTTTTAATTAATGGTCAAAGATATCTGATGTCTTTTCATGAGTTCATTTTCCATGTAGTGTCAGTCCAGGTCTTTTGCCTGTTTTTTAACTTTTTTTTTTTTTAAGTGTTGGGTTTTGAGGGTTTTTGCTTGTTTGTTTTGAGACAGGGTCTCACTGTGTAACATAGTACAGACTGGCCTCAAACTCTCGGTTCTCCTGCCTCAGAGCCTTCTTGCTGGGATTACTGGCTTGTAGCATCATGCCTGGCTTTTTGAGGGTCCTTTATATGTTTCGTTTACAGATTAAATGTCATATATGTGCTTTGCAAATATTTTCCCGTCGTCTGTAGTTTGCCTTTCCAATATGTTGATACTGTCTTTCAGAAAGCAAATGTTTTAATTTTGATGAAGTTCAACTCATTAATTTTCCTTAAGTATATTTTGGTATGTCTGAGAACTCTGCCTAGCCCTGGGTCAAGAGAGTTTTCTCTTCAGCTTTTTCTTTTAAAAGTTACAGTTTTACATTTAGGTCTTTGATCAGTTTTGAGTTAATTATACAAGGGGTTGAATTTGCATGAAGCTTTACTTTTTGGACGTGGTATTCAATTGTTCATTTGGCGAAAGACCATCTTTTCTCCATTGAATTGCTTTTGCACCTTTGTCAAATCAGTTAGCTTGGTGGGGCATGATGGGGGTATACCTGTAATTCCATGTAGGCAGGAGGCAGAGGAAGGAGGATCAAGTCCAAGGCTGGCCCAGGGCAAAATGTACAAGACCCGATCTGCAAGATAAACTAAAAGCAGAGAGGGTTGGGGGTGTGGCTCAAGTGCAAAACCCTATTTCAAGCCCTAACACCAAAATTGTCTGAACTTGATTGCTCTGTTTTGAAACCTCTGTTCTGTTTCATGGATTTATGTAACTTAGTATTTGCCAGTATAACACCATCTTCATTAATTCAGCCTTTATCTTGTCTTAAAAGTGGGTAGTGTGATTTCTCCATTTCCTTCTTTTTCATAGTGGTTTTAGCTAATCTGTTTCCTTTTGCTTTTCCAAATGAAGTTTAGAGTTACTTTGTCTTTAAAGAAATCCTGCTGGTACTTTGGTTAGAATTGCTTTAAACCTATAGATCAATTTGGGGAGTACTGTTGTTTTTACTTTTTTGTCTTCCAAATAAATACATGTTATGTCTTTCTATTTAATTAGGTCTTTCTCTTTTTTTGTTTTTGTTTTTGGTGCTTCGCACTTGCAAAGAGGCACTCTACCACTTGAGCCACATCTCCAGTCCATTTTGCTCTGATTATTTTGGAGAGGGGGGTCTTGAAACGTGATCCTCCAGCTCTCAGTCTCCTAGGTAGCTAGCATTACAGGTGTGAGCCACCAGCACCTTCAAAGTCTTTGATTTTTATCAATAGTATTTTGTAATCTTAAGCATACAGATCCTATACTTAAATATATTTTTAGAATTATTATAATGTTTTTTAAAGTTTGTTTTCAAGTAGTACATTGTCATTATATATAGTTTAATTTTGTGGTTCTCTTTATCCCATGACCTCCCTAAACTCACCTGTTAATTCCAGGGTTGGTTTGTTTGGTTTTTAGTTTAGGGTTTTGTTTGTTTTTTTGCATTGCTGGGTATTGAATCCAGGGCCTCGTGCATGTTCTCTCTTGCACTGGCTAGGACTTCCCATTTGATGACCCGTAGTGAGGGTAGCACCCTTTCCTTGTTCCCAATCCAAGGGGAAAGCAATCAGAATTAAGTATGACACTAACTATATTACGCATATAGGTTACACATACAGATGACGCCCTTTTTTCTGGTTTGCTGAGAGTTTTTTCTCCCAAATGAGTGGTGATAGAATGGAATTTTGGCAAAATTTTTCTCTGCATTAATTGATACTGTGCTGTGTTTTTCTCTTGAGTCTATTAATATAGGGGATTACATTGATTTTCAAGTTATCAAACTAGCCTTAACTTCCCAGAATGAAGTCCACTTGGTTGTGGTATATTATTCTTTGTAAATATTGCTGAGAAGTTTTGCATGTCATTTACAAGGGGTTATTTGATTTTTTTTTCTTTTTCTTTTTGTGTTGTCTTTGTATGGTTTTGGTATCAGGATAGTGTTGGCTTCATAAGTTGAGACTGGAGTCCTTCTCAGGTCTGTTCTGGAGGACATTGTGTATCATCACTGCCAGTCTTTGAATGTGTAGTAGAATCCTTTCCTCAATAATTATATGCAGTTCAAATATGATGTATTTCATGTTGGTGAGTTGTGGTGGTTTACGCTTTTGTGTAGGAATTAGTCCATTTTGTGTAGGCTGCCACATATATTTTGGAAGAGTTGTCTTCTGTTGTGTTATCCTTTTAATTTGCAGTCAGATAGCTGAAATGTCTGTTTGATAGCTGTTTTATTCTGCTTATTGGTAATTTGTGTCTTTATTCTGTATTAGTCTTACTATTGCTATAGGCTTGTCAGCTTTATTGATCTTTTTTTAAAAAAATCAACTTTTTGTATCACTACTTCTGTTTTCTATTTCATTAATTTGTGCTCTTTATTATATTCTCTCTCTTTTTTCAGTATTGGGGTTTGACCTCAGGGCTCATGTTCGCTAGGCAGGTGCCCTATTGTTTGAACCATACTTCTAGCCCTTGTTATTTTCTTCTTTTTGCTTGCTTTGAGATTATTTTGCTCTTTTCCTAGTTTCTTGAGGTAGGAACATAGATTATTAATTTTATTTTCTATGAGGAACCTAGATTATAAATTTTAGACTTTTCCTCTTTTTCTAAGGTAAGCCCTTTCTACATGTTGGCTGTGTTCCATGATTTCTCATATTATACTTTTACTTTCATTAGTTTTTTCGGTGACTTTTGAGACCTCTTTGACCCAGGGTAGTTTAGAAATGTGCTTTTAGTTTCCAGATGTCAGTTTTTCTTGTTATCTTTCTGTCACTGATGTCTAGTTTGACTCATTCCATTGTGGTCAGAGAACACAGTCTGTATGATTTCCATTATTTTAGGTTTGTTGAGTTGATTTCTATAAATACAGATTCAATTCCAACTTTATTGTGTTCTTAGAATTTCATTTTTCTTCATATGTAATCTTTGTATAACTTTTTAAATGATTGCTCTGAATAATGTGTGTGTATACATATTCATCCGTATATATCTCTCTATATTTTTATCACAGAGTTCAGGTGCCGTGGAGAAACCTTACCTACCTCTCCTTACATCATTCTCTCTACTTCGTTTATAAGTAACTGTCTTAAATATTTTCCTTACATATCTTGAACAATGCAGTGGGCAGTTTTATAACTTATGTTTCAACTGCCCAACATATTTTGGAACCCTGAAGAAGAGACAAGAATTCTATTGTATTTGCCAGTATTTTTGCTCTTAGCGCAGTCTTTTGCAAGATCTAAAAACAAAATCACTTCTGTTTGAAGAACTTTTAGCTGCTTTCTTGCATAGGACTCCTGCCAACAAATGTTCTTAGTTTTCTCTCACCAGAAATTGTCTAAACTCTGATTACTGAAGGATATTTTCATTGGATATATAATCCTTTTCTTTCAACATAAACAATACTGTGCCATTTCCTTTTGGCCTCTGTGGTTTCTCTTTCTGTTTTTGTTTCGTGCTGGGGATTGAACCCAGGGCCTGAGCTACACCTCCAGCACTAGCCTACATGATTTCTGATGAGAAATTCATTGTCATTCAGATTACTTCACCTATAGATAACACATCCTTTTTTCCTGGCTGCTTTCAAAATCTGTCTTTAGTTTTCAGATGTTTAATGGGTTTTGGCCTGTCTTGTTTGGGATTTGCTTAGCTTCTCGAATTTGCACATTTGTGGTTTTTTTTCAAACCTAGAAATTGCAGCCACCATTTATTTCTTCAAATGCTTTTTCAGGCCTGTGCTCTTTCTCCTTTCCTTCTGCAACACTGATGCTATAATTGTTTGATTTATTGGTTTTTTGTTTGTTTGTTTGTTTGTTTGTTTTTGGTGTAAGTCTATAGGTGCCTGGGCTCTGTTCTTTTTCTTCAATCCATTTGTTATGTGTTGATTAGAGTGGATACTCTCTATTGGAATATGTTCAAGTTCATTAAATCCTTTCTCTGTTCTATGATGTTGAGTCTATCCATTAAGTTTTTTATTTTGGTTAATGTAATTTTCAGTTCAAAACTTTCCATTTGATTCATCTTTTTATCTTCTCTTTCTTTGGTGAGATTTGCCCTCCAGTAAAGCTGAAAGTAGAAGGATTCTTCTTGCTCCTGCTAGGCCCACCCTGCCTGTCGTGCCCACTGGCCCCACTGGGATCAGAGATATCCTCATCACCACTGAGGGATGGGTGGTCAAAGGCTTGGCTTTCTAATGGGTTTCCTCTGACACCACTCCAGCAAGAACAAGGAGGCAAAGGCTGAGAGAAATGCCTCAACTGTTGGATGGGGCTGACATGCCCTCTCCCCCACCCCTCAAATATGGTCTCCTGTGGTCTGTGAGGAGGGTTTGGGGGAGGGGCTGCCTTCATTGCCTCCCAGTGGAGGCAATGTTGGTCTTCTCTGATACCACAGGAGCTGCATCATTATAGTCCCCACAAGAGTGTGGGTTTTTGTCTTGCTACTTGCTAGGCTGCCCCCTTCCCTGGTCCTCTGGCTAAAGTAGGCTTTTGTTGGGGGCTTTGTGTGTGAGGGTGGGGGTGGATACTGGGATTTGAACTCAGGACCATGTGCTTGCTAGGAAGGCACTCTATTAATTGAGCCATGCCTCCAACTCTTTTTTGCTTCATTTATTTTTTGGCTAGGGTCTCAAATATTTGCTTTGGACCACAATCCTCTTATTTAATGTCTTCCACATAGTTGGGATTACAGGTTCACACCACCACACCTGGCTTCTTGGTTGAGATGGGGTCTTTGTAACTTTTTGGCTGAGGTGGCTTCAAACCCTCCTAATCTCTGCCTCCCATGTGGCTGGAATTACAGTCATATGCCATCATGCCCAGCCCTTGTTGGGGTATTTGGTTGGCATTTCCTGGTTATTGCCCTCTCCATATGAAGTAAAAAGAATTCAAAGAAAATTCATTACTATGTTGTCCCTTGTATTCTGTGGTTCATAGCCAGTCTTTCTTTCCACTTTTCAGAGCTTTGTGTATTTTACAGATAATGTCCAAAATTTTTAGTTGTATTTTGAGGAAGGCTTAGGAAAAGATACCAAGCCTGTCTTTCCAGAAGTAAGTCTCTGAAGTATATCTTTTTAAAAGGAGAAAAAGTAATAAGTTTTGTTTTGAGACAGGTCTTGCTTGCTATGCAGCCCAGGCTGGCCTTGAACTCATGATCTTCTTGCCTCAGCTTCCTAAGTGCTGAGATTATGGTCATGCACACCACGCCTGGCTTATTACAAGTAAGTTTTGTGTTGTTGATTTGTTTGAACTTCACTACTTCTGGGGTGAAGAACTGGCGAGGTAGGAAAAAGAGAGTTGCCTTTTAAGAACTGAACTTGTGTGAAATACAGCTGGATGAGCAAGGTTCAGATCATGGTTCAGGTGGGTGCCCCAGTGACCCAACCTTTTGGTAGGGGATAGGGTGGTGGTACCCAATGTCCAGATTATATCCGAGGCCATTTAAACCACATTCTTAGAAGACAGGGTTTAGTATCTTTTTAATATCACTGGGTGATTCATATGAGCTGAGGTGAGAATCACTAGCCTAGCTTAGTGTGATGGCACTGATGTTTACCTGATAATAAAATCACTTGGGGTCAAGGGATATCATTTTGGTTCTTCAAGAAACCAATGTCCTGATGGAGTTAGGAGTGCAAGAGATTTATTGGGGGAAATGCCTGTGATGGACAAAGAGTAGCACCTTAAGACTGCAGTACTCATTTGACACCTGCAAAGGAGAGCTGGGTGGAAGGAGCTTAGCCTGCAGCTGCTCTGAGCACATATCAAACAGCTTGGTGGAAAAGCCACCACACTGGGCAGCATTGGCTTCTCACCTTGTCCTGTCTGTGGAGTCTGTGCCTTTGGGGGGAGGGGGCTGTCTGTGGCCTCCAGTGGAGTGGGCAGGACAGCAGATCCTGAGGACCTGTACTGTCTCTTTTGAAGGGAGAGCTAAGCTGTGCACTTCTGTGCTTGTTTTAAAGGGCAGCTGTCAAAGGCTGAAGTTATGATAATTTTGACCATGTCAGAGCTGAAGACCCCAAATCTACTTAGCAAGTGCACTTGGCAATTCTCAAGGTGTCCTGCAAGCTTCTGAGGTACTGGGGCAATTGAGGCTCTACTAGGGGCAAAGAAAGGAAAGCTCTTCATAGTCTGGACTCAGTTTGTGTAGTGGTTGTGTCCGTGGGGCTTCAGTTGAGGAAGCTGGAACATAAAGTTAAATGGGCAGGCACCTAACTAGTAATTTTAAGAACTATGAAGAAAATGACTTTCTGTTCTTTTCAGTCTAAAATGCAAACAGTGCACAGTGTATTACTTTCATTATATGACTAACTGTAACTAGTTTGAAACTAAAGAAAGAACTACGGTGTAAGAGTATTTGTACCAGGATTCATTATAACCTGAACACTAAAGCAATGTACTGGACAGCTCAATGCTGACAAAGGATTGTACTTTATTACTGCAACCTTTCTTTGGGGGTAGTTTCTAGGGACATTAATTATTACCTATGAGGTTGGAAAAACCCTTTTCATAATTTTCTACATGCTGCCTGTATAGTGGTACACTGGGGATTTATCATATTATATAAAACTGCTAATTTTTGCATGCCTTATTTTCATAATGCTTAATCCTCTGTATGTTTCCTTGATCAACAACCCTGTGAGGTGGATATTATTGCTAGGATACTGAAGCTTGAGCAATAAATTCACCAAGAGCACTGAACTAGTAACTGGACCTTCAGTCAAGCCTCAAATCCAAGGCCGAGAGTTTTCATCTCTGTGATGGGAGAACTACACAGACCTAGACTTTGATTGGCACATCAGTGCCATTGTCTTGTGCTATTGTTGCACCTTTGAAAGATTAACATTATCTAAGAGGTAGAATAGCAGGGGCTCAGTCTTGGAAACAAATTTCTGTAATGCGATATGATTATTTCTTGGTAAAATAATTGTAGTTTTACATTTTGTGCAATTTTATGTCATAAAAATTTCATTTTAAACCACAGAATTGAGAGAGAAGATCTGATCCATCTGGAATTAGAGTTGGTATAGAGACCATTTCTACTTGGAAAATGTTGGAGGAAGACATGGAAGTGGCCATCAAGATGGTAGTTGTAGGGAATGGAGCAGTTGGAAAATCAAGCATGATTCAGCGATACTGCAAAGGCATTTTTACGAAAGACTACAAGAAAACCATTGGGGTTGATTTCTTGGAGCGACAGATCCAGTATGTATTTGGCTGTTTCGCACATGGGTTTTAATTTGTAAACTATGTCCAGGACTTTCATTGGGTTAATAGTAACGAACTACAGTGCAGGCCAAGCTAGGCACCTGGTGACACTGCTCATGCAACAGTTGATGTTTCTGTTTACCTCCCCTCCTCTCCTCTCCCCTCCCCTTCTCTTCAACAGGGTCCCACTGTGTAGCCCAGTCTGCTGTCAAACTCATGATCCCCCTGCCTCTGCCTCTGGTGTGCTGGGATTACTGGCCTGGGCCACCAAGCCAGGCTTGGTGGTTTTCAGTTATCATTACCATGTATGTCTTTATTCTTCTTTTCCCTTTCCTTTCTAATTTTTTTTCTCTTTTTCCTTCTGCTCCCTTTCCCCTTTTTTTTAACTGTCTTATCTGATTTATGTTTATCAGTGACCTCTTGGTACTTAAACATAGACTGAAGCTTGACTGTAGTGAGATTTCCATCTGCTATTTTATTTCAAAGAAAAGTTACACATATCTTAAAGTTTTGTCTGTTATATTACAGAGTCCTTTTGTTTATGAATGTTGCTTCTCTTTTAAACTGGGCAAGACTACGTAGAATTAGAGAATTAATAATTGCTTTTATTCTAAAGAAAGAAAGAAAACAAATTTGGGAAGGTTAAATTTGCCTGTGAAAAGAAAACCTATTTCAGGAAATCCAATTGGGTTCCAAAACACTTCAGAGTAATACTTTCGATAATTGATCTTGAAAACTTTCAAGATTAATTTAGGTTGTTTTACAGAAATAAGAAACATTAAAAAAAATCTGACTTACTGCCTAAGTACTAACATCACACCAAGGGAGTGATCCTCATGGTTTCAAGATCAATTTGTAATCAGTATTCTGTTACCCTCTTTTTTTTGTACTTCCATATTTGCTTCCTTTCTTAGCGCATGTAAAGAAAAGCCTCATTTTAACTCTTGGTAATGTTTATTTTGCTGTACTTACTACCTAAGACCAAATTAATGTGTTTTTTTAGTTGTTGTACTGGGATTTGAACTTGGTCTCCCACTTGCTAGGCAGGTGCTCTACCACTGAGCCACACCTCTGTCCCCAAATTAATGTTGTATGTATACAATTGATCATTATTACTCATAGGTTTTTATTTGAAAATTCACCTACTTGCTAAAATTTATATGTCACCCAGAATCACTACTTGTGCCTTTGTGGTCATTTGTGGATAGGTGCAGGGCTGCAAAAAATTTGAGTTACCCAGCATACACTTCCAGCTGAGGTCAAGCAGTGTGTTAACTTTTCCTTTCTGTTTCAGCTTTCATACCATAAACACATGGCCTTTCTCCGTCTTCTAAATGCCACATTTTTCACAGTTTGTGCTTTTTGTTGGAGATTTTGCTGTTTAAAATGGCTCCTGAGTGAGGTGTTAAAGTGCTGTGTTGTGCTCCTAAGTATTCCTATGATGTCCCTTTTGGAGAAAATACTTTGTGTTAGATAAGCTTTGTTCAGACAGGAATTGTAGTACTGTTGGTCTCTGGTGCTATTATATATTGGCGTATATTCAGAGCAAATGAATTAGCAATTATATCTGTAAGCTGTCTTTAAATAGACACACACACACACACACACACACCACCCCCCTCCCCCACCCCCCACCTACCTAGATGCTCCTACCTACCTACCTACCTAGATGTTGATCAGCTGATGAAAATAACCAGGCGCTCTTTTCTCTTTTTTGAGGCAGAGTCTCCTGTTTTGCCCAGGTTGGCCTCAAGCTTGCAGTCTTCCTGTGCCTCATGCTTCAGCCTCCCTAGTGCTAGGATTAGAGGTGTACACCACTACACCTGGCCTCAGGATCCTAACCTTGTATTTCCCTTAGGAGCAGTGTGGTTCAGTGTTTGCTAATTCAATACTCATAGTGTCATTTGAAAGCAGGGGACGTAGCTCAGTGACAGAGTGCTTGTGCATGCGTAAAGCCCCAGTGCCATCCCCAGCACTCCAAAGAACAAAAAATTCACAACTTACCTAGAATGTAAAGTAGAACTATTGCCTCTTTCCTTTACCTTATCACTGGGGCACTGGAACCCATTGGAATAGTGTAGCAGGAGAGGAGTAAGCACTGGCTAAGGGAATTCCCTTTTCCAATTCTGTTGATCTTAGAGCCACTAGTATCTGTGACTGTTGTTGAAGAAAAACTATGGAAAATAAATACGTATCATGTGTAAACTGTAACAACTTTCACTGTTGGGACCAGTACCAATACTGCAATGTACCATGCTCAGAAATTTTAGAGTAAAACTGACAATGTAGTTTAATGTCTTTGGATTTGAAAATTAGAAATATACACAATGCTATGTTATTTTTTTTAAAAAACCTGTACCTTTGGAATAAATCCATGTCTCATTTCAGAATTAACAATGAAGATGTCAGACTGATGCTATGGGACACGGCAGGCCAAGAGGAGTTTGACGCAATAACCAAGGCATACTATCGAGGTAAACTCAGCACTTACCGTTCGTTCTTCATGTGCTTTTGCCAAAAGAGCTTTACTTCTTTGCTTCCCACATAAGGGTTTCTCTCTAAGAACAGTTAAAATTTGTCTGGGGATGTACTCAGAGGTAGATTCCTTACCTTGAGATGCTAAGTCTGATCCCCAGCACCAAAGACAAACAAAGAAAAACCAAAACCCAGGAAAGTTAAAATAATTTCAAAGTATTTTTTGAAATTCCAGTTTATTCTTCTTATAAAGATATTGTAGAATAGCAAATAAAACTTTGTATGTAAACAGTTTGTCCCTGCCTCAGAATTATATGACTTTTTTTTTTTTTGGTGGTGGTGGTGTTAGGATTTTGAACTCAGAGCCTGATACTTGCTAGACAGGTGCTCACCCCAGTCCTTTTTGCTTTAGTTACTTGTGACATAGGGTCTTTTGTATTCGCCTGTGATCCTCCTACTTATGCTTTTCAAATAACTGGGATGACAGGTGCATCCCACCATGCTTGGATTATTGGTTGAGATGATGAGGGTCTCACTAACTTTTTGCCCCAACTGGCCCAAAATCAAGATCTTCCCTATCTCTGCCTCCCAAGTAGCTGGGGTTACAATGGGAGCAACTGTGCTTGGCATGTTTGTTTTTGTGCTACTGGGGATTGAACCCAGGGCCTTGAGCAGGCTAGGTAAGTGCTCCTACACTGAGCTACATCACCAGCCCCTCAGAATTATGTGACTCAGACGGAATCAGTCAGAATCTGTTATGATTGCTCTGACCCCAAGGAATTGACAGCATTGTCAGAGAGTAAAGGCTAATGTAATAAAACTAACGCCCTTGCAAATAAGATGGCATTTTGTTATGACATGAAATTACATGGTAAGCCTTTCAGTGCTGTAGGAATCCAGAGAAGCGGGAGACACCTGTGAGAGGAAGGAGCCATGATGATAAAATTTAAGGTTCTAAAATGTGGGCTTAAATTCCTTAAGAAAAGCTGAATTCAACTTCTAAGTGGAACTTAAAAGTTTCTTTTAATAGTTCCCTATAAGATCACATCCTAATCTTTTGGAATTTAGAATAGGATTTTCAGTGTTCCTCCAGCTCACTGCCAATGGCGATTGAAGTGATGAACAAAATAACTAACAGCTTGACCTGGCTGAGGAGCATTGTGGCCTGTAAAGGATGCAGGCACATGGTTAGTAATTCAGCACTGCATTTCCCAGATGCTCTGAGGGGACAGAGGTGCAGTTGACATACTGAGTGTCCGTTCTGTGACACTTTCTTCTCTCTGATCTCTTCATCCTGTGTGGGAACCAGGACCTTCTCACAAGCAGAGGCATAGTCACATTCTCCAAGACTTGAAGGATCTTGGCAGTGGTGATTCTTTGTTTTTCATTGCTCCTGCTTCCTCCTAAGTCATGAGACTTTTACTGACCACTGACCCCCACTGCTTCCACCGTTCAGACAGCACTGGCATCTGGCTCATTTTCTTCTGCATAGTTTGTGTGTGTGTGAACCAGGTCACGCCCTTGCATACCCACACTGCCGCTGAGCTATTCTTTCTTGCCTCAGCCTCCTGAGTGCTGGGGCAATAGTCGATAACTGCTGCACCTGGCTACTTCAGTGCTTTTTAGGTCTCCACAAATTCTGTTTAATGTGTTTATAAAAACCGGAATTAAAAAGAGAGACCATAATCATTAATATTCACATCTTCATTGAACATGGTTCGGTATTTAAATTACCCTCCATTTCCATTGGATTAAAAGGCTTTAAGCCAGGTATGGTGGTACACATCTGTAATCCTAGCAAACAACAGAAAAGCAGTTTCAAATTGGCTTAAACTACAGGTAGGCCTGTTGAATTGTTTGCTCGGAAAGTCTGCAAGTAGTATATAGTAGTACTGCTCTTCAGACTGCAGCCTCACTGACTCCCTTGGCCTTGCTGCCTCCTGCTGATTCTCTTCTTTGTTTCAAGACTGCTGCCATGAGCAGTGAAAGCCACATGTCTTGTGTGGCATGTGGCATGACTGCAGGAGGCCGGAAATGAGATTAATTGGCCTGGGACAGCATCCTACTCCCAGAGGATAACTTTAGTTTACCTAAACCCTTTGGCTACCACAAAAATGTGGGAAAGGAATTCTTAGGTGGGAAATGCCAGCAAGGAATTCAGATAATGTCAGCTGCTCAAAGAGATTCAGATAATAATGTAATTACAAAGAAATAAAGGGCTGGGTGTGGTGGTACATGCCTGTAATCCCAGCTACCCAGGAGGTGGCATCAGGAGAATTGAAGTCCTAGGCCAGCCTGGCATGGAGGGAGCGAGACCCCCATTTCAACCAATAAACTTGGAAGTGGTTGTGTGTGTGTGTGCACGTACGCGCACGCTTATAATCCCAATTCTGTGGGAGGTATAGATAGGAGGATTGTGGTCTATGTGGCCAGGCTAGAACCCCATCCAAAAAATAACTAAACATGTGGTTGTGACTTGTGGTAGAGGGTCTGCCTAGCACACTGGATGGCCTGAATTCAAATCCCAGTACCACCAAAAAGTAAAAGAAAGAAAAGGAGGAAGAAATAAAGATTAGAAAGAAAAGACTAGGAAGGGCTAGGAAGATCGTTAAGAGACAAATTTAGTGACAGACATTGTGCCTTACATAATTATGACTCGACTTAAATCCTGAGTAGTGATTCTAAATTACAGTTTAAATTTTTTTTTACTATAATTCAAGAGACCTTTATCCAAAACATTGCTCCCAGGCCTTATTATGGGCTTGAATTGCCACTTCATTGTATAGTTGAACATGTTGAAACATGACCTTCCTGTAATTAGGTCACACAGAGCACAAATCTTGTTAGGAAGCCTTCTGGGATTCCAGATGACTCCTCTAAAACGTTAAGGAAGTCCATTCTGGGCATTAAAGCAACCAGTGCTGCTACAGCTAGATATGTACAACATAAGATAGATGTTCATAGGTTTTCACTTTGATTTTTCCTTTCTAGGGAAGGAAAAAATCAGTTTCCCTCACTCCTTTTTCATTCTTGGTTGGGTCTTGCTATCAAAAGATAGACTAACAAGAAAACATACAGATTTATGTAAGGAAACAAAACTCTTGAAGTGCTTGAAGGGATTCCAAGTTGGGTAGCAGGTTTATAGTCATGTCCTTTGTAAATTCTGCAAATGATAATCTCTCCTATCTTTTTTTATTTAACCTCAGTTAAAATTTCATTTTAGAAAAAGAGGTCACCCACACAAAAAAAGGTCATTTTTAGCATGTTGTTTAAAGTATATATTAGAAAGGGCCTTTTGGTCATTAGAGTTTTCTTAAACATAAAAGAAATAACTGTGATGGATCATGGTTGTGTGTGTATGTTTTTTTGGTTTTTCTTTTGGTGGGATTGGGGTATGAATTTAGGGCTTTGTACTTGCAAACAGGTGCTCTTGAACAACTTGAGCCATGCCTCCAGTCCATTTTGGTCTGGTTATTTTGGAGATTGGGGCGGGGGTCCCATGAACTATTTGCCAGGGCTGACTGGGCCACAGTTTGAAAGAGTATTTTTTCTTTATGGATAATACTCACTTGGAGAACATTGTATAATGTTTGTTAGAATTACTTAAACTGTAAAAAAAATTATCAGGTCATCTGCTGACTCTTTTTCATTATGTTAATATGTCAGATTAAATCACACAAGATGGTAGCAGCATCTATCAGAAGACTTACCATCCTGCCTTGCAGAGCCGGGCACCATCCTCTTTCCAGAGATTGGAATTGCTCTCTTTAGGATTTATTTCTGCCATCTTACATTTTCTGTAGTTTAGGGTTTTATTTGTGGGGTGTTTGGTTTTGTGTCTACTTGTCTTTTTCACTGGATGAGTTCAGTTTTCTCCTAAGGGTTAATAGCCACACAGTCTCCTTTTATTCTGTAAAACACTTAACTGTTTTCGTTTGAGCCCCTACCTGCTCATCCCACCCTGCCCTGTTTGTGTGACTGGTTTATCTGGGATGTGATCTTAGGTAGTGGAAGTAAAAGACTAGGGAGAGGACCAACAAAGGGTGCTGATCTTCCCTGTGGGTAACTAGGAGTCAGGCTCTGAAGATCCTGTAGAGACTGCCTCAGGAAGCTGTAGTTAAAGCTTTCTCCTGGAGGGACAAAAGCCAGCTCCCCTTGGGTATGCACTAAGAATCAAAGGCCCTTCCACACCACCAGAAAGCCCTGAGGCAAGAATGAAGATGCTCCCTGCAGCACTTGCTTGAGTTAGGGCACTAGTAGCTGGCACAGGCACAGGCACAGGCACAGGCTGTTCAACACCCTGTCAGTAGTACATCTTCCTCCTCAAAGGAGCACTTTGGCAGTTCTTACAGACTTGTGGTCTCCCCCCATTCTATCCCCTACTAATGATTGGAGAGGTGCTACGGGTATCTTTTTCTCTTTTATCCCTTCAGTCCTTGGTTTTTAAAATAGCCTTTAGCTTTGTCGTAATCATTCTTGCTGCTATTTGGCACCATCTGTTCCTCCAAGAGGTTTTTTGGTTTTGTTTTTAAGAGAATGAGACTTACACACCTGGAAATGAGATCTTACACACACCCTGTTGTGTCCTCAAATTTAAATGACAGTTGACTAATACAAAATTCTAGCCTTAAAGCTAACAGAGTATGATCGTGTAATATCTTATTTGTAGTTTGAGTAAATATTAGAGCTTCAGTAAATACACATTTTTAACAAAATGCTAACGTGACCTCTTTAGTTATTTAGTTTATAAAATACCCAGACGCAGCTTCCACTTTTACAGTAATAGCTAGCGGCTGCATTTCTTCCATCCTGTGCTCTTTGCTTTCTTCAGGTTATTCTCTCTGCTGATACACAAACTATTACCATTTTTGGCCTTAGAGTGTCTCAGGTGGCCCAGGCATGTCTTGAGTCTTACCATTCAAGTTTACCATTCTTTCTACCTTTTATGATGCAATTGAAGGTCAGTTTTTTGTGATGGTGCAAAAAGAACAAGTGCAGAGTACTTAAACATGTTGATAAACATTGGCTCTTTGACTTGTAGAATATGGTTTATATGAGAAACGTAAGCTGTTCACCATTGATCGTGGGAAGGAAGGCTGTTGTGAATAGGTAGAAGTTTCCCCCACCATGTATAGGATTGTTTCATCAGTATCAATAACATTTCTATTTTGTGACCTTACAGGAGCCCAGGCCTGTGTGCTTGTCTTTTCTACTACAGACAGGGAGTCTTTTGAAGCAGTTTCCAGCTGGAGAGAAAAAGTAGCAGCTGAAGTTGGAGACATTCCAGCTGTGCTCGTACAAAACAAGATTGACCTCTTGGATGACTCTTGTATAAAAAAGTAAGACAGCTAGGGGAAGGGAGTGATGATTCTATCAAGTTAAAACACATCTTAAAGTAAGCTTTAAGAAGTTATAAGATAAGAGTAGTTACTTTAAGGCTTTCGTTCACTTAAATTTCTCTGTGTATATTGTTTGTGATTGGTTTAGGTTACAAAAGCACAGTAGGGCGACTAAATGATGATGAAATGCAATTCAGAAAGCCAGAAGAGAGCTCTCACTTGAAGAAGTGATCAGTGTTTCAGGAGCTAGACCTGTTTAACCTGATTTAAGCATTATAAAATCTATATGTTACTCCATTAATATGTACAATTCTGATGTTTTTACATGCCAGTTAAAGATAAAATTAGCACTTCCTTAATGTTCCCAAAGCCCTGGATTCAGTCCCTAGCACATAAATAAAATAATACATTTAAGTGATAAATAATTTTTAAGAATACTCAGATTGATTTGTAAGTAGAAGAAATTAAAAGAATCCAGTCTTAAATCTTTACCCCCACAAATCCAAATTTTCATACTAAGTCAAAACTGGATATAAGGTCTTTTTTTCATATTTTTTGGGGTGGGGGAGCATGTGGAGTTTTTGTTTGTTTCTGGGTACTGGGGATTAAACCTGAAGCCTCATGCATGTTAGGCAAGAGCTCTACCACTTGAGCTATGTTCCCAGTCCTATATAGTAAGAATATCAAGGGAAGCAACCTTAAGCAGGTGTGACGGCACACACCAGTAATCGGGGACATCTCAGGTTCTACCATGGTGAGCCCCAGGCTAGGCTGGGCTAGATGGGAGACCTCTTCTGTGGGTAGCGGGGAAGGGGAAGGGGAAAGGAGGGCATCTTTAAATGTTTCAGTAGGTACAGAAGTACTATCCTATATTGATGAATTTTAGTAGAAGAGTTTGGGTCCATATTGTTTTGTATATTTAGAATGATTAGATTTAAATTGGTAAAGAGTTTAGCATCCAGGTAATTTCTGTGTATAAGTATATACTTATTTCATTATTAGTGTTTTTGCCAGCTTTAAAAATCTTTTTATGTGTTCTTCTGTTATTTATCTGTTGCTGTATAACCAATTAGTCCATAATTTAGTGGCTTAAACAACAGACTTTTTCTGGTGTTTGTGGGTGGGGAGTTTGGGAGTGATTCTGCATGAGGTTGCAGTCAAGATGCTGCAGGATCCACTGTTTTTGAGACAGTGTCTCACTATGCAGCCCAGGCTGCCTTGAACTCACGATCCTCCTGCCTCAGTATACAGAGTGCTGGGATTACAGGTATGTGCCACCATGTGAACCTTAAAGGATTCACCCTTTTTTTTTTCTTTTTCTGTAGTACTGAGGATTGAACCCAGTGCCTCATGCATGCTAGGCCAGCGCTCTAACCCTTGAGCTGTGCCCCTAGCCCCCAGTCTGAAGGATCCACTCCTGAGGAGGCTTACTCACTTGGCAGTAGGCCTTAGCTCCTTGCAGTATGAGCCTCTTCTTGGGGCTGCTTGAGTGTTCTCACTGTATGGCAGCTATTTCCCCGGGAGCAGGTGGTCCAAGAGCAAGCAAGGCAGAAACAGCAATGCTTCTTACCACCCAGCCTCAGAAACCACATTCTGTCACTTCTGCTTTATTCTACTGGGCACACAGAGTAACCTTAATTACAAAAGGGTATGGATTCCAGGAGGTGGGGTCACTGGGAGCCATTCCTATAACATGAGTACTGCAATCCTAGTTAAAATAAAATCAAGGGTCCTAACAAAACTAAAATTAGGAGTTGTCTTTGTTTATTTATTTATTTATTTTTTTGATGGGACTGAGGTTGAACTCAGGGCTTCCTGCTTGCATAGAAGGTGCTCTGCCACTTGAGCCACACCTCCAACCCAGGAGTCTAGTCTTGTATACTCAGGCATTACTGTGCTAACTTTGGCTTTTGGTAACAAGGTTGTTTCTTTCCAGTAAGGATAAAATAAGATGCCTGGAATCCTAGCTACTTGGGAGGATTTCAGTTAGAAGCCAGCCCAGGCAAATAGTTCTCGAGACCCTATCTCTTGAAAATAACCAACACAAAAAAGGGCTAGCAGCACAGCTCAAGTGCTGGCCTAGCAAGCATGAGGCCCTGGGTTCTAACCCTAGTAATGCAAAAATAAATAAATAAATAAATAACAGTCTAAGATTTTTTTCAGAGTGTGATAAATTCAAATGCTGTTAAAAAGAAAAGTAACTAAGGTATTATATAAAGAAAAATGATATTCACTTACTTTGTGGCCAGTTACTATTGATTTTATAGAAAAGTGTCCTGTTTGTAGCTCAAGTGTAATGATTGGTGTTTACCTCATGAGTAGTGAATACTGAAAGTCCTGTGTAAGCACTAAGTGAGTGCTTAGCTGTCGGTGAGTTTCATTTAATGGGACATTAGTATCAAGCTTCTTTAAAAAGAAACGTGGCTGGCAGAATGGCCCAAGTGGCAGAGTGCCTGCCTAGCAAGCGTGAGGCTCTGAGTTCAAAGCCCCCAATACCACCACCTACCACCACCAAAAAAAAAGCGAAAAATATTCCAAAGGATCTTATCTACCCTCTCACCCCACCTACTAACCTTATGCAGATAGTATAATGAAAACGTGGCTTTTAAAAACAAGCTATCGTAGGCACCTTTATAAGCATTTTTTTTGTCTGTCTGAATCGATGTGCAGTGAGGAGGCTGAAGCACTGGCAAAACGGTTAAAGTTAAGATTCTACAGAACCTCAGTGAAAGAAGACCTAAATGTGAATGAAGGTAAAGTGTCTCTTTAAAATACAGACTGCAACAGGTATTTGTCAGCTAAGTAAAAAGGCATCTGCTTCAAGAGTTCTTCACTGTTTACCAGTGTCCTTGAATGCTTGTTTCTCTATAGCAGCAGTTTAAAATGAGCTGAGTGTGTGTGTGTGATGTGTACCAGGTGATCACGGTGTGTTTAAGAAAGGGAGATTAAAAATTGTGACGTATTTCAGACTTGTTACTTAGTAGATTATAACTACATTTTCATGTGCATGTTTATTTTTGATAGTTTTCATCACTTAAAGAAAGACATTTTTTCAAAACTGAGTCAATTTAGTTTTTTTGGTTTTCCCTTGTTTTTGTTTTTTTAAATTTAATATTTTTCTCAAGTTTAGTGTTGCTAATTATTAGCACTACTCACTAGTCACAAATTCCATTTCATTTCTTTAATAATAAAATACTACTGTACATTTATTAGTGTTATTTGTTGTACTTCTCAGATGATTTTTGAAAGTCACATTTTTTCCCTTCTTTTTGGTGGTGCTGAGGTTTGCTAGACCAGCACTTTGTCACTTGAGCCACTCCCTCAGCTCTGAAAGTCCAGTTTTAACTAGATTATATGCTTCTAGTTTAATTTAAAGGCTTCTTAGTAAGTATAAATATTGTAAATAATATGAAATGACTTGCTGTGTCATACTGAGTATGTTATGTGTTTATTCTAGTTTTTAAGTATCTGGCTGAGAAGTGTCTTCAAAAACTCAAACAGCAAATAGCTGGGGACTCAGAAGCTGTGCGCTCTAGTAGCAAGATTGGTGAGTACCAGGGACTCAGAAATACAATCAAAAGTGCCAGGCCAATGTTACCAAACTTACTAGTACCAAGCCTTTTGTTTAAAGGTATATTTAGTTTTCAGGGGCTTTTTTGACCATTGAATTTTCTAAATCCTTTTGATACAGACAACAGAGGTGTGTGAACTTTTTTTACAAAGGTCTGTCCTTCATGGAAGTTTTAGTAACACTTGTTCTTCTGATTCCACACTTGACCTGTCTCTTAGTTTTTCCCATTCCTGCCATCTTGTTTGTTACTTGCTGCCAATTTTTTTTCTTTTACATGTTAAATGCAGCAAAACTAGCATTCCCTGAAGAGCAAGTGTAATGTCTTCTCTTTCGCAATAATGACTGACAGAGTACTTTGGCTGCCACAAAGATGACAGCCAAACTTGCTTATGTGTGATCTCTAAAGGATTTTACCTCCACTCTGTCGTCCTTACTACACACATCTAATTTAGATCTGTCCGTGGTTCTGGCTTCTTCAGTTCTTTGCCATTTTTCTTGCATATGCCTCTTCTGCCAAGCACCTAGATGCCCTGTGAAACAGAGAGGACTCTTGCAGTGAGCCTCTGCTTGATCTCCTGGGCCCGGCCACTGGTGGAGCCTCTTCATTACAGTGTTCCAAGACAGTCTTCCTTTCTTTCTGGTAGAAAATGTGAACCACTGCTGGTTCCCAGAGTCCTTTCTCTTTCATAAGCACACTAGTGCTTTCTTCACTTTTGCTCCTTCTGTTTTCTGTGGAGAATGACCTCTTCCATCTGATGTCAAGAAACTCTTCATTCTTTAAGGGCTATTTAGGAAAGTTCTCCTCTGCATGTCTGCTGAAGCCTGAAACTCCATGCTTTTCTAGCAAGGCATTGCCAGGTATTTAGTTCTACTTATCCACATACTGAATTGGATGGTCCTTCCTTCGAGCCATCTGTGGATCTGTGTGTCCTTTCTGATACCTCACATACAGTGTCTTACAGCATTGCTTATTTATAGTCACATCTCACTCACTGGATTGTGAGTTTCTTACAGGCAAGTATTGGGCTCAGACATCTTTGCATCCCTGGTAGTTTCTCTGCCCAGAGATGCTCAGTGGTTCATAAATTGGAGAACAGATTTGTGAACAGTAGAGTTCAAAATGGAAACCACAATATTTTTTTAGTTCATTTCTTTTATCTACTTGTCACTTTGCCTATAGATCATTTTTATGCTGTTGGGGTTGCTTTAGCCTAACAGTAATATAGGAAAATTCTGTATTATCTGTATTGCTATCATGTGCAATTTTTTTTTCTTTTGACAGTACTGAGGTTTGAACTCAGGGCCTCACACTTGCAAGGCAGGCACTCTACCACTTAAGCCATTCCACCAGCCTGTGCAATGTTTTTATTAACATAAAATCTAACAAATACTATTGTTAACTACAGATCAGGTATTCTTGAGGATGCTATGATGTAAAGTTAATGATATTTACTGATTCCAATTTTCAAAAATAGATTTGTAGTGAAACACCTCAGAACCACACATAGAGTACACCATGGTTGGATAGAAAAGGGTGGGAGTATATGTGTGCGTTTTCCCTGTATGTGAGAAAATTTCCCTGGAAGGATATATAGGAAAACTAGTGTGTTTGCCTTAGTGGAAGAAAACTGGCCAGGTGGGTTGGGGTAGGGACTGAGTGAAATTCCTCCTTTGTACTCCTTGAACATGTGGAACAGCTTGTCTGTTTTTGAGACTGGGGTCTTGCTAGATTGCCCAGGCTGGCCTCAAACTCATGGTTATCCTGCCTCAGTTTCTGGCCTATCTGGAATTACAGGTGCATGCTACTAATCTGTCTTATGTTAACTATTGAAAATAAATGAAACAAGCCTGGTGCAGTGGTGGGTGGTTCCCGCCTGTAGTCCCAGCCACTCAGGAGGTAGAGATGGGAGGATCGCTGTTTGAAGGCAAAAGTTCACTAGACCTCTCTCAGAAATGAGCCAGGCATGAAGGTACAGGTCTGTGGTCTCACTGCTTGGGAGGCAGAGGTAGGAGGACCATGATTCAGGGCCTGCCTAGGCAAAGTTAGCTCAAGTAGCTCAAGACCTTAACTAAAAAAAAAAAAAGAACCCAAAAACTGAAATCAAAAGGACTGGAGTGTAGCTCAAGTGGTAGCCTATTGTTAGGCCCTGAGTTCAGTCCCCACTACCACCAGAACAAACAAAACTCAGAAAAAGAAAAAAGTAAATGAAGCAAAAGGTAAAAAAATTAAATACTAAATTGTCCATTGATGAATGGGTAAGTAAAGTGTAGCATACGTGTACAAAGGACTATTTTATTTAAAAAAAGAGGGAAATTCTGCAGTATGCTGTGACATGGGTGAATCTTGAAGACAGTATGTAAATGAAGTGAGCCCGACACTGTGATTCCACTTTTACGAAGTAGGCGAAGTCATGGAAAGTAGAGTGGTGGGAGCAGGACAGCAGAGTTACTGTTTAAGGGGAGAGTTCAGGGTTGAAGAGCAGAATCGGTGGAGATCGACGGAGGCGGCTGTACAGCATTGTGAGTATTTACTGTCACAACGTTATATTCTTAGAATGGTTTGTACTTTTCTAAAATGAAAAATGGAAACCGTAGATACCTGGAAATTCTCTGATTTTACTAGTAATCTGGACACAACATGTAACTCTGAACTGAATCAGAGTCAATCTGTTTTTTTCCTCTATTTATACAGGTGTCTTTAATACATCTGGTGGAAGTCACTCGGGTCAGAATTCAAGTACTCTTAATGGTGGAGACGTCATCAATCTTAGACCTAACAAACAAAGGACCAAGAAAAATAGAAATCCTTTTAGTAGCTGTAGTATACCCTAAAATCTTTAGGTAGGAGAAAAGTTGAATTATAGTGTGCAATTCACTAAGAAACACATCCAGCTGTCACGGTATTTTATAAGTGTTTTAGCAGACTTTGCACCTAATGCTCTCTGAAAGCTGACAGATTTCAATAGTACTCTGCAGTGCTTTTCAGAACGTAGAGTGAGACCTCTGGCGGAAAAATTACTGCCCTACAGACTCATTTTAATTTTCTGTGTTAGACGAAGCTTCTGTTTTTGAAAGAATGCTATAAAGAATGTCAAAAACAGGTTTTGCTGAATTTTAAGTGCTAGAAAACATAAATGAAATGCCTAAATATATCGGTACAGGTTTTAATGCCAAGGACCAAGGACAGCGAGCATTATGAAATTGGTTATGCAGCTTTTCTGAAAAGTAGTGTTCAGTTAGAACAAAACAGTACTGAGAGGCAAACCTTAAATCGTGCCAGACTGCGTCAGTGTGATTCTGGCAATGTTGCTTGTGTGGTGTCTGTAAAGTGCAGTGGGGGTGCATGCAGACATCTGGTGCAGGAGTAAACTGCAGTTCTGTGTGGTATTTGAGCAATTGTAGATTTGAATTCATTCATTCATGAAACCATTTACACATCATGTATATGTTCTTAGTTTCAAATGAGAAATTCTAGACATATGTTTTGAAATGAACTTGGATTTAGAAAGTGCTTTGTGCCAAAAGTATCATCCCTAATTTTCACAGTGCTCTGCTATCAGAATTTGTATAGTGTATAGTCTTTTAAAAGCAGTCTCCTCTGCAAAGGGCAGATAGAAGAGGGATACGAACATGCCAGTGCCAGAGCAGCGTCTCCTGTGTGAGATGTCCTGCACCGCACCTCTGTGTGTCCGTGTGTCCATGTAGGCGCAGTGAGCCCTGCTGTCCTCAGCTTAGCCCGGTCCTAGGGCACTCTGGAGGCTGTCCAGGATGTTTGTGCATCTGACACCTTTCTCTGCCAGTTGAGAACCCAGCTTTGAACTTTTAAGATTACACTTAACCATTTTTAAAAGTGCACAAAAGAAGAACTTCAGTCCTAGTCCAGTGTATGGATTTTGTAATGCCTCGCAACTGTATCAGCATCCTTCAATTTATACATTTTTGTATAGTGTTTTAACTTATCATTAAAAATTCTATAGCTTTGATTTGTAGAGCATCTTTATCAAGAGGTCTGGTCATCCAGCCGAGCATATAGGCCCTTCCCATAAAGGATAACTGCATGAACTGGTAAACTTAGTTATCATTTTCTTTTTAGTGGTTTTTGTTTTTTTTTGATATAACTTCTTTCACTGTACTGTTCTTTTTACAGGATTTCAAAATATGTAAAAAATAATTTTCTTTGAAAATGTGTCATCAAGTCATTTTCATTATTTGTGCTAAAATACAAAAATGTTTTCGTATTTCTCTTGGATGTTTTATTTTTAAGTCTCCCATCTGCTATGCTGTCCCTCTGCCCAGACTAATTGCATTTCCTGGGGTGTGTCCATGCTACGTGCTCAACACTGAAAGTTTTCTTCTCAAAGTATCGACATAATCTGCATTATTTTTTTCAGAGTAATGATGTTATTTTTGTGTCACCAGCTGTCCCTACTCCCATTGCTGCCAGTGGGATAAGAGTTAGGAAAAGACTCAGTTCCTGATGGTGATTCATAGTTTTTACTGTCTTAAAATACAGTTTCTTTAATTTTTGCACAAAATGTATTTTATGGCAAATAATTTAATGGTCTTTATTAGAAAAGCCATTCACTACATAATGTGTTATAGTTCTGTTTCGTATTAATTGTGTGTGGGTAAAAGTGTATTACTTTTCTATGAAGAATGTAATCTCTGATGGTTGTAGTACCCATTTAATATTTGTAATGTAATTTTATGCACTTGGTTTTATCCTTTCTTTTTAATAAGAACTAAAGAGATCTTTGTTACACAATTAAGTTTTACTTTGCATTGCTGTGTTTTATGCCTAAAATACTCACATTTTGAATAACTCAGTAGGAGGTCTAAAACCTTCAAAATTCACATTTTTTTCCTTTGTGACCCTTAATTCTTTTAAAAAACTTTATTATTAATTTCTAATGAAATCTTGGATGCTAAAGAAAAACTTACCCAAGATTACAGGGTATTATGCATTTGTGCTCTCATCAACATTTTTACATCATCACTAATTTTTAGCATGTAGACATACAGCTGTGGAATAATTGTCATATTTCAGAGTTCCTCAGGTTTCTTTTTCCTTTGCTGCCTATGAATTAGAATAGTGTAAAAAATAGCCCATGTAAGGCAATATAGTTAAATAAAATCAGGTTTAAATGGTTTCCTTTTCATCTGCTCAGAGTTGATAGCACAGTAGTGTTTCAGAATAAAGCTAACACTACCAAAGCGAGGACATGGCTTTCCTCATTGTGGAGTGACGGTAGTTTGGTGTCTAAAATCAGCAGTGCAGTGCTTAGGAAGAACTCAGTAATGCCTTCTCCTCTGTGCCTGGGCTTCAGGGACTGGGGCCTTTTCTGCAGATCTTAGGATGAGTGGCCTTACAGCCTGGTGTCACACCTTAAAGTGCTGTACTCCCAGTGTAAGCATTCTTTTCAGAAACTTGGAAGTAGTTCCTGGTGGCCTGCTGATGTGTCGCTGTCACGTTTTTCTGAGCAGAAAATATTTAAAACTACAGTGGACTCTGAAATGTCCAGTCACCAAGCTTCCAGATGCATGGATGATTTGCCTACAGCACTCTTACTAGCTAGTGCTCCTTTCCTCCTCTCTTGAGATCTCTGCAGTAGCATGTTGGTACGTGGTATTTTAAAAGCAAAAACTTAGATTAAATGGGAAACTGAGCCCCTTCTATGTTTTTGTTACTAATAAATAAGGCTTTTGTAAATTTGAGTGGCAAACCACTGGTTTGTGTTCTTTTAATATAAGATACTCAATTAAAATCTTAGGATTAATTCCAAAAATCAAAAACTAACTGCATTTCAAATGTAGAATTTTGTGTGAGATATGTGCTATGTATCACCAGTGCAGAACTAAATACTAAAAGGTTTAGTGTGACTTCTTCAAAGCCAGATAACCTAAAGTACTTCGTGTCTCACCTGACTGACTGACGGAGCGTCTTGCACACTAGTTACTCACGTCCTTGATGCTTAGACACTTGTTTCTTTTATAATCTTGCTAGTGTCGGTCCCTGACAGAAAGAAAATCATTTTGTCTCAATTTGAGGCCGTTGGCCCCCAGATAATAACTGTCCTTCTAATTCATGTAGCAAGTGCCTTCTGTGCTGCACACCCTGCGGTGCTGAGGAGCATCAGTACCTGACTTGCAGTTGGGTGAATGGTGCAGTAACACTCAGTCGTGCTGTGCCTGTGTGCTGCCTCCTCCGTTTTCACTTCGTGTGCCTGTTGTACGAGTAGACACGCAAAAACAGAATGGCTGAGTTCAAGCACACTCACTTGTGCCCATTCCTCGTGTCTTTGGATAAAACTAAAACCCAGCCTTCAAAAATGATGCTACATATACGTCCTTCACATGTACTGCACACGTCAGTTACAGGAAAGGGCTGAACCACATAGGTATTTCAAGTTTAAGTCTGCGCGTTTCCCATTTTTCAAATGCTCTGCCGCTTCCAGTGGTTGGTAAATTCTTTCCTGTTTCCAGCGTTAAACCGTCTAACCTGAAGCCTCCATTAGTTGATTACCTGTTCAGGGTGAATTACAAGCATGGCCATCAAGGTATCAGACTGAGCTATCCACAACCAACCATGTCTGTCCTTGTTGTGTCCCTAATAGTTGTTGGGCTGGGGGAGGTCACTCACGTAAGAGTACAGTGTCAGTGGTGTCCCTGGAATGTCCAGGAGTGACAGGGAAACACCAGTGGAAGCCACTAGCTCAGTCAGTACTGTTGTCGCTCCACCTCCCATTCCTCTGAAGGCTTCAGGAATTTTTAATGTCAGGGGCCTAGAAATTAAATACCACTGCGCATTTCCGTATTTGTCATACTTTTACCTGGGCAGGACTTCCAGTCTGTCCTCAAGCTGATGAATTTGAGTACTCTGTCAGCTCTTCTGCAGGTCCTGCTAGGTAACAACACACTTGAGAGAGCCTGTCCTTGTAGATAAAGGCAGAAAGCAGGCTCCAGTATAGAGATGGGTACAGTCCTGGGAAGAAGGTGCTAACAAGGGACGGCAGGAAGGCTACACTGCAGTTACTGTCTAGGAGTTGCATGGAACTGATGGGATAAAACGTGCAGCTATCCACAATGCAGCTCACCCTGGAGTTCAGCGGAATGGAGGCGCTGTAGACCCTGAGCAGTTTGAGATGGGGAAATCACAGCTCTTCGAGTCTGTGGTAAGAAATGAGTCACTGCCAGTAAAACTCACTGTAAGAAAGGGGAAGAAACAAGGCAAAGAACACAAAGACCAGGGGCAGCCAGAATCATCTGTGGTAGAAAAAGCCCTGGATTGACACGGAGTGAGTGGAGTGCTTCCCAGAGAGGAAAGGGATTTACAGAGGCCAACAGTGCCTAAGAACCTAAGGAAACTCTCTTGTCCATTTCTTAATTTTCAAAAAACTGAAGAAAAGGTGGCTATCAGAGTTAGCACTCCCGTGAATGGAAGGACACGTGTGAGTCAGCCTAGTGGGGCTGGTCAGGAGGACAGCCACGAGTGCCCTTGCACTGAATTTTCATAGTCACGTTTGTGAATATGAAGGTGCTCTTACTGCTTGAGCCGTTCCACCAGCCCAACTATCAGCATTTCTGGGCAGAAAATTCAGCTCAATATTGCTTGCCCTGACACAAAACCAGTCTGGATCTTTCTTTCAATGTCAAGAATACCTACATTCTAATAAAAAATGAGTGCAAAGTTTCATTTCAAAGTAGTATTTGGGGAAGTTGTTGAGGTTTCTGTTTATCAGTAGTACTGCTTTGTCACACAAAACAAGATCAGTAAGTTGTTAGTAAACAAGATGCAGTAAACCCATTAACGGGAATTTATACAGTGATCAAAACCAGAGAAGGCTAAAGCTCTACCCACTTACAAGAATGCTGCAGTATTTAGTATTTAGTATTTGGACAATTGGGTTGCCCGCACCCAGTTGTCCAAAAAGAGGGAAATGAATAAACTATGGATTTTTTTAAGTTGACAATTAAGTGGACTTCACAGCAGCAGCATTTAAAGGGAAAAAAAAAAAAAAAGCAAGTTACACATTGAAAAGTTAGAAAAATGATGCATTTGGGAGAAGATCAAACAGTTATATAATTGTTCACAGTGGTGAAATTCAAGGTGATTAATTTTGTCATGTTTCCACATATATAAAAATATATTCACTTAATGAGATTTGTAAGCCCATACATTCAAAATAGTTTAATACAGAGCCTAAAAACTTGAATGACAGCATGCAGAAAAATGTTTGGTTTCCCTTTATCCTTCCAAGTACAGTGGGTGTGTGTGTGTGACCGCGTGTGTGACTGCATGTGTGTGTGTGTGCGCGCGCATGCTGCTTGTCGTAAGGAAATTTTAGTCGTCTAAATGCCACAAGTGCCTGTGTTCCCACACTCAAGTCCAGGACATAGCAGTGATGCTTTTGCCCCCAACTGAGCACTACTTCTCCCCACATACTGCATTCATCCAGACAGTAAAATACGTGGTGCTAGATTCTAGAACAAGAATTCAATCGAAAAGCTTCTATATAATTAAAAACTTCTAGTTTTAATTGTCACTGTTAAACTGTTAACAGTGAAATATTTCCTCATCTGAAACAACCACCAACATCAAATAAGGGACTCTGCCTAACAGATCACTTAAAGTATTATTTTGTCAACAGTGCCCTTAGGTTTGAAGATTAATTAAATCTGCTTTCAGTGCTTTGTTGCAGAGTCTTGTTACCACCTTTCGAATGCTCTAATAGCTTGATGGACTTGTCAGAGTTTTCAATATTCCTAAGCAGAGTCTCTAATCTTCTCTTAATTTTCTTCTGATCTTCAAGAGCGCAGCCAATTACTATGGACTGAAACTTCTGGTCAACTGGCCCAGGAGGCACTTCAGAAGAACATGCACTGTAGAGAGACATCAAATGATTTTTTGCACTTCCCAAGTCATCCAGAAACTTATTGACCACCTCATCTATAATCCTCGTGGCGTGCTTTAGGGATTCTTGCTGCTGAGGGTTTCGAATCGTTTCTACTGAAACTTCAACAGTGAGGGTTCGTCCCATCAAACGGTTTGCAGTCAGATTTAATTCTTCTCTTTCTCCTAAACAAAGTTTTGAAACACCGATCAGTATGAGACATAAACTTACCCATGTCAAGAACACGAAGCCATTCATTTGTGGCTAGATTTGCTTCCTGTAAGTACTTCTGCTGAAGTTACTAGAGCGCATAGTGAGGTTGCAGAACAGCTTTCCTTGATAACCTTCATGTGTGGACACAGGTGACCTCACTTGCATGTCTGCACATTTGCGCTTGTAACTGGGCTGGGGTGAGTAGGGGGCATAACTAGGGTTTGTGCTGGGCAGTGTGGAGATCAGGTGTGTTTTATCAGAATACACCACACTGAATTCCGGCTGAGAAGCAGTAATGATGGTAAAGGATAAGCTGGGACCCTAAACCAGACATTGACTTTGTCCTCTCCAGACAGGTCAAAGCAGGCCAGAGAGGTCCGTCTTGGACGGTATAAGGAAGCAGTAATGGTAAATGGAGCTCTGTCAACGTTCATACTGTATGCGAGAAAGTCAATGATCTCTGACCTGTCCCTAACTTCCTAATTCATTGATCTCTGGACAGGATGGCGGGCAGACAGACCAGAGCATGACCCATTTAAGTGATGTGTAACACTCCTCTGGTCTGGAGCTAGACTGCTTGCTTACTCATCTCACCAACTACCTGGCCCCCTGCTTGTCCTGTGTGGTGCTACAACAGCCCAACTAGTAAATCCAGTGCCAGTGAAGAAAACCAGTGGCACCTTTCTCCATGGGCAGCTGTGCTCTTTAGTTGACAACATTTCTCCATTTCCTCACACCCTTTACTTCTCTGCCTCCACTATCACCTTTTTACTCAGCTCTTAAAGCCTCTGCAGTCCACTGGCTTGTGTAGAGGTCAGCGGTGAGCCTCAGGTCAACACATGACCTCCCTGCCTGGGGCCGCTTTCTGGAGTTTGCAGACCTTTCTTTTATCCCAGTCTGCTCGGGGATGGGGAGTGTGTTGGAACAGGGGCCCCTAAGGGCTGCTGTGATGCAGTGACAGCTGCAGCTGCTCTGTGCTCACATCAAATGCTGTAGTCATAACCATGGAGCCAGTGCCGACCCACGCGTGTCACAGCCCCTTCCAGGAGAGGAAAGGCCTCACCGTCACTGATCTGCCGCATGTCCTGGCTGTTCTGGATGCTGTGGATCATTTCCAGGAGGATCTCTTTCTCTTGCTCCACAGCAGTTGCTGCTTCTCTCAAAGCTTCCACCCTATGCAGATTGGGAAGTGAAAGAGGCGTTACAGGGTGAGAAGCTTCCACATTTCCTTTGTATCTCATTCAATGCAACTCAAGTATATAGCCCATTAGGAACTTTTCAGAAATTCTCAGGCAGGCCTCTACCTCTTGAGCCACTCTGCCAGCCCTCAAAACTTATTTATTCCTTTTAAAAGACCCTGTGTTGCTATTCTTTTTTATCCTCTTGCCTTACTCTCATTTTCTCATTTTTCTATTCAGTGTTCATCTATTTGTTTTTGTTCTTACAAAATCTATTTGTATATTTGCATATTTTTATTTTTAAGGTTTATCATTGTTTCTTTTGCTGACTTTTATTTTATTCAGAACCCATTCAGGCTCCTGGGTTTACGAGTAATCAATAGCTTCTAATTGCTGTGTAATACTCCATGTGTGCACCCATCTAATTTCGCCTCTCCGTTCTGATTTACCACTCCACAGAAGGACACTCAGGTTGTATACCAACTTCTCAGTCTCCCCTTTGTATGCCTGAGTGAGAATTTGCACACTCAGGATATTAGTTTCTTATCAACAACAGGCATTGTAATCCTCTTTTCTTATCCCTTACTGAAAAGGGGTCCTTATTTTTTTCTGGGGCAGTGTCACTATGCTGCCCACACTGGCCTTGAACTTGTGGTCCCTCTGCTTCAGCCTCTCAAGTATCTGGGATTACAGGAGTACATCACCACATCTAGCTAAGAGATCCTTATTTTATTTTGAGACAGGATCTTGCTGTGTAACCCAGGCTGGCCTTGAACTTAGTGGTGGAAGAGATCCTTATTTTGATGTGATCAGTTCATCTGATGTTTGTTTTGCCTGTGGTCTGTGCTTTCCCAGTTTTGTGTAAGGGCCTTGGCCACCCTGAGGTCCTAAGATATTTTCTTCCACTTACTTTATAGTTATACTTTCCTCATATCCTCACCTTTGTCTTTAATCCACTATTAGATGTGAATGCAAGGTTTGTTTCCAAACATTTACCAAATGATCCATCTCTCCCCTGATGATGTGTTTATTATGTTCACGTCTGAATCGATCCCACACGTTAGTGCATTTGCTTTTCTTGTACCAACACCCATTTTCATACCATCAGGCTTGTACTTCGCCTTAATAATAAACCCACGTTTATTGGGTTTCTCAAAAAAGGGGGGTAGGTTAAAGGGATTTGACATCTTTGTAATAGTGTCATTTAGTCCAGCTTTCATTTATTTCAATCTTCTATATTCTTAGGCTTGAAATATTCTTCACATTGGCTTTGTGGACAGTGTTGTAGATAATTTCTGTGGACACTGCTGCTGTTGTGAATAATTTTAATTAATTTTCTAGTCAATCCTTGCTGGTTTGAGAAATGCTGTTTCTGCAATTTCAACTTGTAACTTGCGACCTTGATTTACTAATTTTTAGTCAGTCCCTTGACTCTACTGGTTCTTCTGGGTTAATGATCACACTCTGTAAAAAATGGTAGTTCCTGTCTCTTTCCTATCAAGTTCTTTTTCTTTTTTTTTTTTATAGCATCAACCAGGGTCCTCCGGTACTGTACTAAACAGTGGTGTGATGGGGCTATATTTTCTTTTCCCAGATTTAAAGTGAAAGCCTCTGTAGGTTTTTGGTATAAAACCCTGATTAAGCAGTAGAAGTACCTCTTTCCCTCCCTCCTCCAGTTTCTCAAGTACTCACTACACATACACATGAATAGCCAAGGCCCTGAAAACTAGGCTATAGAACCATGAAAAGCAAGAGGGGAAAAAGTCTCAAATATTTAAAAGTTCTCTATTTCCAGGGCAGTTTCTTGTTATAGGTTCCAGTATCTAAGTTGCCAACTTTAGCAAAATAAGATAGTAACAGATCTATCCTCAGTGTTTGTATGATCCCAGAAATATAAGCTCCTGGAAAGTCTAATCCAGACTGCTGCCTTAAATGGGCACAGAAGGAACAACCCCACTAGTGTTTTAGCACACATTAATTCCATAAAAGGACGCCCCCTGCTCACCCCAGCCACACATGCTTTTTCCTCATCCATCACCCACCTGTTACACCCCAAAATAGCACTGATAGGCTGTAAAACTTACAGCATGTTTTTATTCTTCAAGATACTAAATATATGTAGGACTCTGCTTACAAGAGTCAGTAAGAATCCTGTGTAACAAATTTGGCTGGAAAATAAATAAAATATTCCATGAAGTAACAGTAATGGGCTGTCAGGCCCTCTTCCAGCACCATTATTTACTGAAATGATTGACATTTGCAAAGTCTGACAGGTAATCTAGAGTCCAGTACATATGAAAGACTGAGTTGGCCTGAACGTGAAATGATTATGATAAAAATACAACTCATGGCTCCCATATTTGGGTAAATTACATAACGTAACTGAGCAACAGGAAGATGCTGAAAGGTGAGATTAATTCTTCAGCACTTGAGGTTGTATTCAGATGTAAGGTAAGGCTTCAAATACAACAGTGAGCTGCAACAGTGAGTTTGTAGAGTTGTTAGCAAGATGGATTAAAAGGAGACATTCTAGAAAAAAGTGTAAGTGGGAAGTAAAGAAGCTATTGGGGCTGGAGAGGTAGCTCAGTGGTCGAGCACTTGTCTGGGACAAGCCAGGCCTTGGGTCCACAAAAAAAGATACTTTGTCATTAAATGAGCACTTTTTAAGTCTTGTGGGAGATTTTTTCCCCCCTACAATACTTCTTTATCTGTAACAGAAATTGCCATAGTATTTACCTACAAAAAAACAGGTATCTTTCATAGAACTGTGTATCTTTTTCATTTTCTAGTGAAGGCAAAATGTCCTTGTCCAGAATGTAAAGCTTCCAAGGTATGGGCTTTGACTTGCTGTTCTTTCTGCAACATTCTTTTTCTTTTTCCGACTGTGGTCTTTCCCAAAACCCAGTCTCCCTTCCTTAAATTAAGCCCACACAGATGAGGTCTACAGCTTTTCCATCCATTCTAGAGTATTCTCTATGGTCTTCTTTTGGAACTCTAGTTAGACAAGCATGGACCACCCCACATTGCCCTTCCTGTTTCTCTGTTATCTTGTCTGACTGCCAGGGCAGCCATGCTTACTAACAGATCCTGAAGCAGCTTCTCGTCCAGATTGGGAAAGCGCTTCCGCTCACACCCAGACTGGCCTGGCCTGGGCTCTGGAGAATGCATCAAAACACAACTAAGCTGGCCTTGTGAACACCTCAGTCAGGATATCCACAGGGGCAAACTGGAGCAGACCAGGTACCAACAGGACAAGTGGTGGGAGACTGAGCCAAGGTGCAGAGGCAATGTCACCAGCCTGTGGCTGCAGCAAGCCATCAGCTCACAGGGAAGGCGGTGGCACCGGCACTGCCACTGCCAGCTGTGTGACTTTACTCTTAGCTGCAGTTCCCTCACCTGTGACGTGGGTGACGAGAGCAGATGTGACCCACGTAAAGCGTGCGGAGCTGAAGAGTGACTGACAGCACAAAGAAAAATATACACATGAATGTGAGCTAGCATGCTGGAGGGCGCATATGCCATACCTGCCATTATGAACACAAGCCCCTTATTAGTGACAGGAACTTAAAGTGGAGGAAAACGGCAAATGCTTATACCAGGGAATTTTAAAGGAAGTAACTTTCAAGACAGAGTTTAAGCTCATAGTCCTGTCTCTTAATATTTCTGCATCAAAATATTGCTACAATGTTCACTTAATACATTTTAAGCAAAGTAAAAAAATTAAAGGGTTTTCCTAATCATCAAAATTGTTAAATTTCACCTGGGCACCGATGGCTCACGCCTGTAATCAGAGCTACCTGGGAGGCTGAGATAGGAGGATTATAGTAACTCGAGAGGTTTCCCCTCCAAAATAACCAGAGCAAAGAAGTGGACTGGAAGCGTGGTTCAAGTGGTGAGTGCCTGCTTTGTGCTTTGTAAGCATGAAGCCCTGTTCAAACTCAGTTCCTCCCAAAAAAAAAAAAATCTGCCACTAGGAGCTAGTGGCATGGGAGGCTGAGAGGGTGGATCAAGGTTCTGGGTCAGCCTAGGCAAAGAACAGTTTGTGAGACCCCATCTCAATGGAAAAAAGCAGGCATGGTGGCATTTGCCTGTCATCCCAGATACAGCAGGAAGCTTCAAATGGAAGGACTGTGGTCCAGGCCTGAGTCCTTATACTCAAAATAACAAAGCAAAAGAGCTGGAGGCATGGCTCAAGTGGTAGAGTGGCTGCCTGCCAAGTGCAAAGTCCTGAGTTCAAACCTCAGTATTGCCAAAAAAAAAAACAAACTCCCAAAGACTGATGAAAAAAAGAATGGGTGCTTTCAGTGTCCAGAGCTACTTACCAGTACAATGGCCTCCGGGAAGTCACTTCATCTGCCTGGGCCTCAGTTTCCTCATTTCTACCAGAGATAATATGTCTCCTCCTCAGACCCCAAAGGGTTTTGTAAGTTTCAAATGACCATGTATATGAAAAGTCATCTTGTAAATTATAGACTGCTATGCAATATTAACTATGGTGCCATCCTGCTTTGTGAGTTCCACGATACCGGCACACCCTAAAAAGAAACCTTTAGTACCGAGGCGCTTTCAGCCACAGGGAGTCTGCTTTGCCCCTGCCCCAACTTTTCACTTCCTGGCTGAAGGAATGTCTGATCAGAAGGGTTAAGAGCAGCCATCAGTTTGGGAAAGTATGTGAACAGCTCTCCCAGTCCTGGCTGTCATTTCCTTCTCTGCCACTCTGGAAACCCATCCCAAACATCTTCCTTATTACCTTCTCCAAGCCACACAACAACACCTGGCACAGAGCGGGTGTCAAGTGCTCACTGACTTAAAGGCTAACTTAAATTGAACTGTCATCTTTCAGTAAAATTGCCTGTTCATTCAGATACACCAGCCTGACTCTGTGAAATAGGACGTTCTTTAACAAGCAAAGGCGTGAAGAGGGCCATTCTTCCTTTGTTCAAACCTGAAGTCCACTGCTCTGGCTCTCCAGCTGTGACTTCAGTTAACTCCCTTGTTTCTAAGCCTCAGTTTCCCATCTATGGAATGCAAAGAGTAACTCCTCCTAATACAAGGGCCTAACCTGTAGACAGCTGTTAGTATGTATCACTTACGCATTGTGATTACTGTTAAAAAGAACAATAAGCAGGGAGTCTTAAGCCTCTGATAAACGCAACTTCAGAGTCCCGAGCACTGGCCGTGAAAATCAGGGGTCAGCCCTCCGGAGGAGGCCATGAAGGTGAGACCGGTAGAAAATGGGAAGGAGAACGTATTCGGCACGAATGGCACCTGGTCAGCAGTCCGGGGAGCAGGGCCGGCCGACTCAGCTTCTCGAGCGATTGGAGCCCGCAGGCGTCGCTCAGAGCGAGCGTGGTCCTCGCCTTGTGGCGCTGCCGTCCCCTCCGTCGGGGTTAGTTCGTTCTTTATTTTTATTTTATTTCTTTACGGCACCGGGACCCTCGAGCCGCTCCGGCCAGCGAACTCGGTGCCTCCCTCGGGTCCTGGGCCCTCTGCTCCTGGGAGCTGAGCCCACGGGAGCCCACGGGAGCCCACGGGAGGCACCGGCGCTGGCTTCCTTTTCGAAGGGAGAAAGAAAACTCGCAGGTCCGGGGGCACCAGAGTGAGGCGCACGCGCAGTTTCGCGGCGCCCAGCACCCGAGCGCAAGGCCCGGGCCGGGGACAGTGACGCGGCTGAGCGCGGGTGGCACCCCCGGGTGCTGGAGCGCGGCCGTCCCCGGGCTCTCGGGGTGGAAATGTCACTGTGCGGTCACGGTGTCCCGCGGGCCGGGAGGCCCGTGGCGACCGCACACACGCACCGCGGAGGACAGCAGAGCTCACCGTCCGCTCTCACGCGTCCTTGTCGCGTCCACCGCAAACCCCACGGAGCGCGGGGAAGGGAGCGTCGGTGGGACGCCGCTCAGCACCGCGCACACTGCGAGCACCGCACGTGAGCGACGCGAGCGTCCGCACGGCGCTAAGGCTTCCCGTCCGCGCCCCGCGCCCCGCGCCCCGCGCCCGCCGCCCCGCACCTGAGCTCCAGCTGGTCCAGGCTCTCCAGCAGACGGCCCGAGCGGTCCGCCATGGACGAGGAGCGGCAGAAGCGGCCCTCGTTGGCCTTGGCACTGATCTTTGCCTGCGCCATGCGAACATGCGGCGGCAGCAGAAGTCGGCGGCCGCTCACGGCGACCGCTCCACAAGAGGTCGCCGGCCCCGCCCCGCGTGGCGCCCGCCTTGGACGCGACACCAAACAAGGCCCGCGCCGGCTCGGGGAGGGCGGGCGCAGGGGGCGGAGCCGAGAGGGGCGGGACGCGGAGCCGAGAGGGGCGGGGGGGCGGAGCCGAAGCCCGGAGGGGCGGGCACAGCGGGCGGAGCCGAAGCCGGGAGGGGCGGGCGGAGCGGGCGGAGCCGAAGCCGGGAGGGGCGGGCGCAGCGGGCGGAGCCGAAGCCGGGAGGGGCGGGCACAGCGGGCGGAGCCGAAGCCGGGAGGGGCGGGCACAGCGGGCGGAGCCAGGGTGGGCGGGGCGCAGAGGGGGTGGAGCCGAGAGGGGCGGGCGCAGGGGGCGGAGCCGAAGCCTAGAGGGGCGGGCACAGCGGGCGGAGCCGAAGCCCGGAGGGGCGGGCACAGCGGGCGGAGCCGAGAGGAGCGGGCTCGCGGAGCTGAAGCGAGGGCGGAGGCCCCGCGGAGAGGCGCTGGCGCAGGGACTCCCTCGTGTCCCCACGGGGTCGAGACCCGGATGGAAGTGCGCCCCGCCTTATCTGCCCGACCAGAGCGAAAGCCCGCGCGGCACAGCGCGCACTCCGCGGAGGGAGCCTGCTCCTGATGCTTCCGGAGTGTCCGGGGCTCTTCCCTGTTAAAAGCCGCCCCTTCGGGAATTGGGTGACACAGGTGGGCTAAGGAGGCCACCTCCCCGTTACTAAGCGTTCCCTGCCCTGCAGCCCTAGAGCCGGGCGCCTGTGACAGGTGACCTTCCCGAGGCCCGGGAGTCCGGAGGCCCCGCGCCCGGTCCAGCGCTCATCCTGCGGAAGACAGCGAGCCTCAGCCGGCGGGGCGGGCGGGGCGCGCCTGTAATCCCAGCACTGGAGGCTGAGGCAGAGGGTCCCAGTCAAGGTCAGCACGGGCACACAGCGAGCCCAGGCCTCAGGATCGAAACACCTGAGAGCCCAAGCCGTCACTTAGGTGCTCACACTGACCACTTCCCGAGGGCGGGTCCACTCGCCTTTACTGTCCAGCTGTGCTCCGCAGAGGCCGGCCTTTGTGCCGCTCCTGAACCATCTCGGCACGCGCGGGTGCCCAGTGACATCCGCTTGGACAGCGATCCCTGCAGCTCTCTGCTGCCATCCTCTCGTGTCTAAATTAAGCGCAAATCATGAAGTAACTTTAAAGTGCTTAATCATTTACTGAACACAAACAATCGGTGACAATTACTAAAAGTCGCCCTCCTATCAAGTGTCACCTGCCAGTGGCATCCGTGCCCCCACGAGCGCTCCCCTCCCCCGGAGCGCTCCCGCACACGCGTTCAAGTCCCGCGCGTCTGCTCCCGAGGCCTCGCTGGACCACCTCGTCACGGAAGGTGAAGAAGAGCCGGTGACGCCGCACATCCCAGCACTCAGGACGCAGAGGCAGGGGACCCTCACCAGTGCTAGACCCCGTCCCCATCAAAACAAAAACCAAGAAGCAAGTAGGGAGGCACAGAAGTGACCCTTTAATAAAAGCAAACGGGCTTCTAGGTGTTGACTGAAAGATGAGTGATAAACCAGTTTCTCATTAAAATCCTAGTTTTGCAGGGAAAGAACAAAATTCTAACAAAGGTATCTTTCTTGTCATATAAGAAAAGCTTTGTATTTAGAGAAATTCTTTAAAATTTGGCAAAAAATGACTACTCAAAATTTTTAGAGGTAAGACAAAGATAGTATGAGAACCCCTGTTAAGTCTTATAGCTATGCAACTTTGGGGCCTCAGCACTTTAGAATTAAATCTGTAACACCAAACGGAGGAAATGGACAGATTAAATGGAAGACTAAAAGGAAGACACTCCACATGACAAAAACTTTTAAGTAAGGAACATCATTCCTGAGTACACCTTCAACACTGCTTTTGGAAGAAAATTATGTTCACACAAATATTATTAAAAATAGGTTTAATTCTATTCATATTTAACATCATTCTTATGCAACAGATTATACAAGACATTAAAATCGAAGCAAACAAAAGATGGAAAAGGTTTTGATCTACTTACTTATTTTAGCAATCAGCTGCTCTAATTAAAGCAAGAATACAAACCCACATGATAGCCAAAAGAAAGTCACTGGTGAAGTTTGAGCCTGCTCCACAATCACTTTGTCCTCATGAACACGGAGCATTTGTGAAACACCTGCAGCCTATGAAAATGTCTCTGCAAAGTAGTATCCACAAGTCCCAGCCCTGTCATCACCCATGGAAAGAAACTTGATTTTAGAGGTAAAAAGACTGGATGGAGAAACTGAAGATGTTGACTCCCACCACCCATTCACAGGGTTAGCATGGCCTAGAGGTGGGAGATGTAGACCCAGAGCTCAGACACAGCACATCAACAGAGGAAGAGAAAATGCCTGCTGTTGTCACTGTGCACACCCCTTGTTCTTGGACCTGTCCCTTGGTACCTTTGTACACTTTGCCCAAAAGCAGTGGAGCCTTCCTAACTCAGTGCCAAGTTTTTGTTACAGATTAGTTTTTCCATAAACCACTTTGAACCAGTCGAGAATAAAGTAATTGTAAACACGATCTCAAAGGTATTGTATATTAATTACTGCCATGTGAAATGTAAAATTTATGGAAAAACTGAGGTTGGCACCTTTATATTCAGTTTGACTCCTAAAAAACCGAACTAGCATCATTTGTACAGTACAGGTAAAGCTAAAGAAGCAATGCCATTTGGGAAACACAAACAACAATCAAAAAATTTTGTTTTTGTTTTGTTTCCTTTTAAAAAAACCCTTTTAACCTAAATATATGAATTTTAAATTAGCTGGGACATTGCGACACCCACATATCAGGAGACATGATTTATACTTGCATTAGGATGTTTTCCATCCCTTCCAAACAATGTTGTACAACAGCACAAAAATATAAAGCAAACGTGAGATTTGAACATATGACAGCAAAAAACGTGTTCAGGTACATTTGCATTCGCATGTTTCAAGGCTCCTTTAGAAATCAGTCAATAATTCGTTATCCTGAGTCTCTTTAGGCCACTTGATGTTGTGTGGTAATATCTTAATCACATTTCCTCAAGACTTCTTCTAATAGCTTCTTCTAATTCCACATCTGTATTAAAAGACAGAATTTTAAAACTTAAGGCAGGAAACTAATCAATGTGCTTTATGAAAGTTTTATCAACTACATTCATTTTTTCAAGAAGGTAAGGAAAATCAAAATGGAAGAACTTAGGATATATTGGAATTTCTCCATAATAAAATGAGTATTCTGAAATATGAGAACTTGGATATGACTTAAACTTTAAACTGTACACATGAAGTTACTGTGCAAGTGAACTTATAAGTTATTTCTATTCATAGATGTAGAAAGTCAACAAACTTAGAATCACTTAGCATATAATCACTTGTTCATACACACACACACACACACACACACACAAACAGTGCCACCTACTTCCTAGAAAACTTGAGGTGATAAACACAAGATGAAATAGAAACAAAAAGGTAATACCATGGTAAAATCCCACAGGCAATTAAAAGTTTAGCCTTTTATTTGCCAATTATACCACAACAAAGCTAGGAGGAAATCAGCCTTAAAGGTTTCCTAGCATCTAAGGCAGAGTGACACTCATGGCTACATAATGTCATCTGAGAAGCAGATGTCATCTGTATACACACACAAATGCAACTCCTTCAACAACCGCTTACTAAATGTCCACCACATACCAGGAACTCGACTACAACAGCAAGCAAGACAGACATGCAGGTCTTGCTCTGTCTTCCCCTTGGGAATGAACCTAAAAGCCAGGAGTGCTAAACTGGAGTCTACTCCCTGGCCTTCACTGCTTCTCCCCACCTGGCCCAGCCTCTCAGAGCCCCAGGCTTAGAGGCACAGTGGCTCCTCTAGGATGCAGCTGCTTTCCCTGTTTGTTGTGGTGTCTGCAATTTTAAACACCAGAAGCAAGCATAAACTGTGGGTTAAATTAAAGCTACAGTCAAGGGCTAGTGAGCTGCCCTAAGGTGAATGGAGATGAGGTAGGAAGAAAAGCTCAGACACCTTAGAGAACAAGGTAACAAGACTGTGAGATGGGAAAACCTATTATAAAGTTACAGGAATTGAGAATGTGGCACTAGTGCAGAATAAACAGACCAAAAGAACAGCAAAGCCACTCAGAAACAGGTCCCTGCATGGATGGACCCTTGGTTAATGACAATGGTAGCACTGCAATAGGGTAGGAAAATATGTTTGTTTGGGTTTTCTGGAGTCACAGGGAGGTCTGAACTCAGGGCCCTGCCTTTGCGGGGCAGGTACTTTACCACCTGACACACACCCAGCCCTTTGTGCTTCATTTTTCACATAGGGTCCCATGTTTTTTTTACTAGTGTGGCCTTGGGCCACAATCCTCCTACTTACACCTTCCACATAGCTGGGATTGCAACTATGTACCACCATGCTCAGCTTATTGACTGGGATGAAGTCTTGTAATTTTATGTGCAGGCTGGCCTTGAGCCAGATCCTCCTGATTTTCACCTACTGAGTAGCTGGGATTACAGGTATGAGCCTCTGTACCTGGCAATAATAAACAGTGGCAGATCAACTAATAGGCCATATAAGAAAAAATAAAATCTTATTTTAAAGAAAACACAAAAACGAACATCTGCTACACTATATATCTAATTGTGAGAGACAAAACAAAAATGCTTCTAGAAGATAGGAGGATCTTTATAATCGTAACACAGGGAAAGATTTATTAAGTAAGGTTAAAAACATGGAAAAGACTGATCACTAGGCCTGAATTCACATTACTTTGTCCATCAAAAGTCACCAGTGCACGCAGAAGGCTGAGGCAGGAGGATATCAAGCCTAGGAATTTAACCAGCCTGGGCAACATAGCAAGGCTACATCTCCAAAACAGAAGCACCACTTGAAAGAGCCACAGAGGGGGAGAAAACACTTGCCAGACCTGGGACTGTGCCCAGAACAATTTAAAAGATTTCAACCCAGAAAAATCAGTAAAAGATAGTCCAACAGAAAAAATATCAACACATTTCAAAAGGATTTCAAAAGATTACGTTTAAATGGTCAATAAACATTACTCATCATAGCTCAGTGTACAGCACTTGGCTAGAAAACATGAAGTCCTGGGTTTGAGCCCCAGCACTGGAAAAAAATAAACCCACAAAAATCTTACTCATCAGAAAAATGTAAAAATAAAACCACAAAGAAATACCAGTACATATTCATCAGACTAGTTAAAATGACAAAATTACTGATGACTGACTTCAATTAGTGAGGCTGTAGGTCAGTGGGAACTCAAGCACACTGCCAAAGCTAATGACAGCAGAGTCACTGTAGAAGGTGGCCCGGCACATGTACTCACAGTGAACACAAGCAATTCCTCTCCTAGGCACACATACCCAGAAATGTGGTCTACTTGCATCAAGAGACATGCATGGTAAAGTTCACACTTGAATTACTTGTAATAGGTAAAAAGTACAAATTAAATGTCTGTAAATAACAGATAGATTGGGTACAGATGTAGAATATTACACAGATATTAGAGCTGCATACTAAAACACAGATGAGTTTCTGAAACAATGCTGATTAAAGGAAACCTGACTCAAAAGAACATAACCCAAGCCAGGCATGGCTGCAGGACGTGGAAAGCTGAGGCAGGAAGATCACAAATTTGAGGCCAGCCCAGAGTGAGACACTCTCTCAAACAAAAGAATACGGCCTATACAGGACAGATTCTAACTGTATGTGGGTATTCATATTTGATTAAAATTAACTGAAAGTTAAAACTCAGTGCCTTAGGCTGAGCTACATTTCTGTTATCAGTGGCATCACAGTGGGCAGGGCAGACACAGAACATGTCCCTCATTACAGTTTACTGGACAGTGGCCTAGGATTTGGTTAAATAACTTCAAAATGAAGCACTGCTCAACTGCACTGTCTCTAGGAGAGCAGGAAGTAGAGGAGGCAGGCAAGAGGGGGATGAGAATTGTGTCTCCCTAACACATGTCCTAACCCCTATGTTGGAGCTCATTTGGTGCCGTTGTTGCAGAATACTTGAGGCTGGGCAATTTCTGACAATCCCGCAGGTTTGGAAGGTCAAGGGGCCTGTGTATATCCACAGCTTTCTTTCTGCATCATCTCATGGCAGAGTGCAGAAAGGCACAGTGGGGCAGACTGGGTGGGATACAGGAGATTTAATTATAAGCTACTTCAAGTCTCTCTTATTCTATCCTTGGCCACAATATGAAGCTTTAGTATTTACATTCATTATTAATAAAAAACACAGGTAACTGCTATGAGTTGAAGAAACTGATTTAGAAAAATCAGCAACTTCTGTGCCAGTGTTCTGAGTAGGCATACCTCCATAGTCATCCTTAAATGAACAATGACAACAGTGATAACACAGCATCAATGCAATGCAGACACTGTTCACTTGTTAGTAAAACAGGTATACTAATATTCCCATTTTTAAAATGAAGAAATTCAGGCAGTCAAGTCAGAGGCATGAATACAGCCTTTAATCACATCACCAAGAACAACGAACCCTGGGGAAGAGGCAGGACTGACTGCCAGATGTACCACATTACAATATTCCAGTGTCTAGTTTTCAACAACAAAAAAACAATAAAATACAGTCAAACAAGAAGAATGAAGTGAGGTGACCTGCAAGCAGAGCTTTAACTTAGGCAGTCTGGATCCAATTTCTGTACTCTTCACCACATTTGTTGGCTTATTCTTCCCCTGTCTGGTACACAGAACAGTTTGCATAGGATTTCTGTGACTAGTTGGTGTTCAAAATTTGATATTGGTTTATTATGGAGAACAAAAGAAACACATCATAGGAGGTGGGTAGTGAAGGCAAAAGATGTAAGCAAATTTATCCTGTCTTTTGCCAACATTCAAGCATTTACAGGGGAAGGAGTAAGAAGAGACTTGAGAGGATTTTAAACTGTTTTGAGTTTTATTATCAGGTCTGGAAAAGAGCCTTATTTTACTTCCATAGTCAACAAAATCACCAACTGTCTCCCAGTAATTTTCACTACTCAGCTATAGGGAGATGGGTCCTAATGGGTGGTTCTAACACAATTTTGTTGAACTTCATCCATTCAACAAACAATCATTTAGTGCCACATCTATGCTAGTGCTCCTGGAAGGAAACAAAATGTGACCTAATTCCTTGTGGAACTCACTAAAGATGAGAGATGTAGGCAGAAATATTTTAAATCTAGTTGGGATAGTCTAGTACATGCTTAGTAGAGGCAGTAGTTACAGCTCTGTCAAAGAACAAAAAATCAGCTGGGTGTGATAGCACACGCCTAAAATCCCAGCTACTACAGAGGCCAAGACAGGAAGATCACAAGTTCAAGGCCAACCTGAACACAGGGTTGTCACAAGACACCTCATATTAAAGAAATAAAAAAGAAAATCCAGAAAAAGTACTAGCCATACAAAATTGTTACAAAACTAGTGACTATCTGGTTTAACCTCAGAAATGACATCTGAGCTACATCTTGTTGGATAAAGAGAGGAAAAGGGCACTGGAGGACAGTGCAGGAGCTCATATTCCTTAACTTGGATGGAACACTGTGTAGTCTTCATGCTTTACAGAAACCATCAGGAAACAAACCACACACACTCTTGATTTTTCAAACATTATGCTGCCATCTGAAATGACAACTAGTCAAAAGTTTAAAGCATCTTTCCTTGGGTTCCTCTTTTATTTAAATCGGTATATATTAAATTATACATAGTAAGGGGTTTCACTGTGACATTTCCATACATAATTCTTGGTTTCTTTAATAGCAATCATTTTGAAAACCAAAGAATCATTAAAATGTAAAATCTCAATCTCCAAACCATAAAATGCACTGCAGAGACAACAAAATGGTAGACGTTTTGGTAGCTATACACATCTTAGATTTCCTCAGTTAGCCAGAAGCCCACAAAACTGAAGGCTGGAAGCCTTTAAACATTTTTAAGTGTGGTTACTTAAAAATGATGATTGTGACTGGCATTTTCCTGGAATTAGTCACACGGCACAAATGAAGGCTGCAAAATCTGAGTTCCTTACACGTTCAATGGTGTTTATCTTTTAGTGGCCTTGATAAACAATTTAGCTGGCAATTTTTGTTTAAAACTAACAAAAGTTCTTTCACTGTCATCACTGTATGGCTGCAAGACCTTGAGAAATGAAGTTGGGCAAAAAACTTGCTTCTAATTAGGCTCTAGATTTTCTGCCAACCTTACGTAACCAATTAATTTTGGCTATGAGAAGGATCAGAGTTTTCTTTTCCTTTTTTGATACAGGGTTTTGCTACACAGGCTGGAGCTTGCTCATAGCCCAGGCTGGCCTCAAATTTTCGATCCCCTACCTAAGCCTCCTGAGTGCTGGGATTTCAGGTAGGCACCACCCTGCCAGGCAAGATCAGATTTTTTCTTCATCAAAAAGATGAATTAATTCCACTGCCAGACTCAAATTCCCAAACTCCTAATAGCAGAAAGCTCTAGCATGTTTTAAGCTGAACTAACTGCATTACAGGAGACTGACTAGATGCACAGGAAGTACCTGGCTGGACCCTTCTGTTTGTGTTTAGCTACATTTCCTACCTTCTTCCCACCCTTGAATCCCCAACAGCAAACAATACTGGATTGGAAGATAAATATATGAAGGCTCCTATATTTTCCTTTAACATCACAGATACTAGTATTTTCAACTTCTTCAATGTAGCTAAAAATATTTTCCAAGACTTATTAACTCACTTCCTCCCTGGTTATTAAAAACTACAGTCAATTATGGGAAAACTAAAGAATGGTTACCTGGTACGATCAAACTGGTACAGCCAGAAAATAATATGCCAAGCGACACAAGTAATTCGCTTAAACATATACAAGAGCTTGTCTTTTTTGTGATTTTATTGGACAGGACTAGGGTTTGAACTCAAGGCTTCATGCTTTCAAAGCAGGTGCTCTACCACTTGAGATATACCAACAGTCCATTTTGGAGCTCTGGTTATTTTGGAGATGGGGTCTCATAAACAATTTGCCTGGTTTGTCCCTGAATCACAGTCCTCCAGAGCTCAGCCTCCCAAGTAGCTAGAATTACAAGTGCAAGCCACCAGTGCCTGGCAAGAGCTTATTCATTAAGAGGAGAAACTGAACTTCGGAAACTTTATTTACAAAATCAGCATTGCACCAAATCTAGGCCATACTGAGTCATACCGGGCTGACTTTGTCTGAACCTTTGAAACTAGGTTTATCCTTAAGTCATCCTGTGTGATACAGTACAAGCTCCCCTTCAACCCAAGAAAGCCTCATCTGTTTTTAAAGGAGGGAGTGAAGAGACAGTGAAAAGTGAGAGAAATTTTAAAACCATACAAGGAAGATAATCCATTAGAATAGTTACCTTCCGTAGATCTGAAGTCGTCTTCTGTTAAAGTACTTTTTGTACCCATGTTATCATCACTGTCACATTCTGTAACAGAATCAAAGCAAAGGCGTCTAAGAATGTTACTGGGCCATACGTCATGTATTCCCAAGCACTTCTCTCATACCCAAACCTGCTACTCGTCAGTACTACAACACTTACCCAGTTTTCAGCCACACATTAAAAATGGTTACAGATTAAAGCCTCCTGTATTTTGAAAGTCACATGCATTCGTCTCTCTAGAGCTAACATGATAGGCTCTAAGGCACTACATTGCACAAACTCCTTTGGTGGTATCCTTCTAAGCTTTCATAATGAGAAAATACTCTATACAATGGCATGATTGACCAGGTATTGGAGAAGTCACACAAAATCTGACCCTGATACAATCTGTGACCTAGTATTTATCTGACTAGCCACTTTTAACTAAAAATTTAAATGGATAAATTTATATGAGTGTGTATGTATGTGTAGGTGTGTATACATCTATTACCACAGTAACTGAATCTGAATACAAGACATATTTGCTTCTGTGCAAACTTGGAAGAACAACATACTAAGAATTAGACTGAACAACTATCTATGAGTAAAATGCTAGTACTTTATTCCTCTATTGCAGAGGTTTGCTATTATGAGCCAATCCTTTGCCACGCTGGCCAACTACTCCAAAAGTACTTTTCGCAATGTTTCATTTACAGTCTGAAAGACAAAAGCCTCTAAGCATTAAGAACAGATCAGTGACGGCAGCAGTCATGACCCACTCTACAATTCATCTGTTCATGCAGAGCCTAAGGCAAAACTGTGGGTTTGAACCATGAGAGTTAGCTTGACACTGGGCTGCAAAACTTACAAAAGGTTTCTATTTCCTCAACCAAAATCACCTATAGAATAGAGAAAATCACAAATATTATTCTATTTTCAGTATCTCTGCACAGAATTTACTGTGTCATATGCATTAGGATGGTATCCAAAGCAACAACCTATAGTTTCAGTAACAAGCTGAGGAAACAAAAGGAAGATAGGTTTTTAGAATTAAATTCAAGAATAATTTATATAGGAAAATGAGGAGGGGCAAGATGGCGGAGGAGTAGCTTTCTCCATCGGACGCCGTGATAACAAAGAAGAGCACATACAGAACAGCAAGAGAAAAAAACAGCAGAGAACCAATCACAAAAGACAGACAGGGCACCTGAAAGATACGGTGAAACAGAAAGAGGGCAGAGTAAATGAAGAAACAGTTTGCAGTTCCGCCCCCAGATCCCCAGGAGGAGGAGAAGCCAAAGCCTCCACCCAAGGTAAGCCAGGCGGCCTCTGTTAACAGACTTAGGACTGTAAGTATACCACCTGCAAACCCTAACTCCAGTGCAGGGACATGACGGGACACTGACTTCCTCAGTGCAAGAGGCCAGCAGCAGACAAGACAACCTTTCATTCCTCATCCCTCAGAGAGGAGTGATATGGTGCCATCTTGACAGGGCAAAGCCACACACACTGCATCACCTCTGCATTCACAGAAACTGGGATAACGCAGTGTGTTCACGAGTACTGAGCACAAAGGTAAAGCACAGACAGCTGATACCTGGAACCCCAGTGTACCATGCAGACCTACTCACACACAGCTCATTCCAAAAGGAAACAGAGGCAAATCCACAGCAAGTCTCACGTGCTAAAATATAAGTGTTCCCCAAAACAGCAGCAGGAGAGAAGGGAAAGGAGTACGGCAAAGATGAAATTTTAAGTATTTTATAGGATATTAAGTAGATGTTGTTGAGAACAAAAGAGTGGAAGAAAAAGAAAATATTGTCTTTTTTTAAAAACCCAAAGACAGAAAACTCAAGTGGATGAAAACAAAAATTGCACAAAAGGAAGATAATATGCAGTAGTAAGGCATGACATAAATAGGCAAGAGGGCATTTCCCTTTACAGTCTTGCATGACTCTTACTTTTTCCTGGGTGTGTGTGTGTGTGCAGATCAGGCTGGCCTAGAACTCACCATCCTCCTGCCTCCCGAGTGCTGGGATTACAGATGTGCACCACCATGCCTGGCTCCTTTACTCTATCTTTTTTTTTTTAATTATTCATATGTACATATCCTTTACTCTATCTTAAAGAGCAAAGTTAAGTGAGGTACATTATTGACTTCATAATGGGTTTCCAATAAAAATATGGTTCCATACATTAAAAGGGAAAAAAACATTGAAAGAAAAGTAGAGTTGGAAATTTTAAAGGCACACAATAAAAAGGCCAAAAAGAAGCCACTATTTTTCATCGAGGTCATTTATTAGCATTTTCAAATCTTATTCATGGATTTAAATTATCAGAATACTTAAAATATTCCTTCATTTTCCTTCTTTACCCGTATTTACTTATTTTACAAATATAAAAAACAAAAAGTAAAACTCAGGAATCCATAGAAATATGTTCTTTTCAAGCCCTGGAAGGTGAAAATGACTTTGGCACTCCTTCCCTGGACAACAACATATGAGTGAGATGGAGTGTAAGCGCAGCAGCAGGGTAGGTCAGGGCTTCAGTTTGTCACTGTTAACCTCGTAAGTGGCTTTTAAATTTTTTCTTGGTATTGCCATGTTATGATTTTGCTTTCTGGTTTTCACCTCTAAGTACTCTGCTTTCTAAAAAACTGAAGATAAACCTGAAACTTGAGAAACAAAGTGAAGATCTGAGTTCTGAGCTTTAAATATATGTTACATACGTGAATACAGACTTTTATCTAATAGGTTAAAAAAGGGCTGTAGAAAATTACTGAGAGTTATTTTCCTTTTGAAACACTGAAGAGCAAAAATGAGAGGAGGAAAAGATGAACATTGACAGGAGTTTGAGAGCAGGAAGGTTTAGTGAGCAGACAACAGCTCGCTAATGGACAGCACTTTATTGGTCTCAGCAGTGAAGTCTCCTCTTGGGCAGTTTGCACTGGGACTGCAGCTGCATACCTTTGGTAGTATCAGATATGCTATTTAACAAGGCACACATCATATCTCCCTCTAAGTGGTGAGGGTTTAATATATGAGCTGGCCTCTGAGTCTTCTTAAATTGATTCTCTAGCTCCAAAAAACCTTGATCTCCTGAGAGGATGGTGAAAGGAATTTGCTTGGGAAGTTGTTCATCCAGACGGCCAGCCTAAGTTGGAAGAAATGACACAGGATGATAAAATCAACATAGGTTTCAAATCAAGTTACGACTGCACAATGAGCACATACCTAGGGGATTTATATTAGGCTTGTTTCCCTAGCCCCCACCTTCATAAATGAAAAATTAAACATTTAAGCAAATATACAATGCCAACAATTGTAATGTAAGCTATTTTATGTCCCACTAAGGTAAAAGGCCAAAACACAAGTACCAGCAACGTCCCTACATAAAGCAGGAACCGAAAAACCACACACAATGTGTGGGTAATCGAAGAATGAGTTCACCAGAGAGTATGTATGGAAGGTGATCTGCATGACTCCGTTCTGGCACTGGCTTAAGTAGCAGGTGACACACTTACAGAGCACACTCACATCATCAGTGTGACAAAAAACACTAAGCAGAGAATTTATTTTCAAGTGGGTACTGGGCTAGCAGCTGTTTTAGGTGACTGGCCAAGACAGACTGTTAAGGTGCCTCTCAGTTTCAGATGCTAAGGGAGAGTATCTTAGCACGTATCAGGTACAGGATCATTTCTTGATCGTTTATGCCATAAACAGCTAACAGTCTACTACGCAGAGCCAGAGGCCTGCTAGGCGTTGGGAATAAAGCAGCCCTCACCGTACTCGTGAGCAGAACCTGATGCAGGAGGTTTCAGTACAAGGACTAGTACTGCAGAATTGTCTATACTGTCACTGCAGCGCAAGTGGATCCTAGTGACTCACGTGCATGCATATTGCGAAGTCAGCAGCGTCTTTTCTCTTACTACAGCGAGGATGAAGGAAGAAGCATCCAATCCTGTTCAAGTAGTTATAGACCTTACAGCTGAGTGGAGGCTTCCAATTTGTATTTCCTCCTGTTAATTTCAGAAAGGATATCAAGGATAGTCAAACAGGTAAGGAAAAGACTGAAAACTGTTGTCAAGGAAAAACACAATCGAGAAAAAACTTTTTCTGGAGGGAAAGTACTAAACTGGAATATGGGAGAACCCAGTCCTAACCCAGGCATCACCATCTTGCTGGTTTATGATCTTGGGAAAGCAGACCAACTTCCCTGAATCTGAAAACTCACAAGGATGCTAAGTAGAGTCAAAGGTAATGTGTGTGGGCTTGGCATGGTGGTGCAAGCCTGTAACCCCAGCTACACGGGAGGTGGAAATGGGAAGATGGTGGGCCAAGGCCAGCCTTGGGCAAAAGGAGACCCTACCTGAAAAATAAACGGAAAAAAAAAGAGGGGTGGAGGGGAAGACTGGGGATGTGCCTCAAGTGGTAGGTACCTACCTAGCAAGCACAAGGCCCCAAGATCAAATGCCAGTGCACACACACACACAAGCAATGCATGTGAAAATTCTTTGAATGGCATTTTTTTACAAATATGCCAAGGCTGGGCAGTGGACAGAAATGATGGACAGTCAGCACAGTTAGCCTTAACAAAACACTCAACAGGCTACTTTATCCAGGTGTGTTTCTGTTTAACCTCAGTCCTGTTTTCATGCTGTATTCTCTGAAACATGAACTATGTCAGCTACTCACTATATAAAACTCTGTAAAGTAAGAACCCTGTCCCCCAGTTGAGGACAGATTTAGACGCAGCAGCACACTTTTCAATATTGAGGAGGAGCTGAAGAGGCAGCTGTGGCATGCTGAAAGCAGAGCTAGTGCTGTGCACCAAGGTCAAAGCTAACTCTGCTGTTACAGTGCTGTAACTAGGCCTGCTTCCTTATGCTTAAGAAAAAATTATAGTAACAACCATGTTGTGCCAGGCACTTGCTTGGCACCTACTCAGGTGCTGAGTAAATCGTTTTTCAACCCACACAAGGGATCCATGGACTTTGGGTGACTAAATATTCCAACACAGTAACTATAATGCACAGCTACAGTATTCAAATTATGTTCTTATGTTTAATTCAGGAAGGTTCAAAGGAACCTTTTAAGGTGATCATATTCTGGGGGAAGGGGTCTCAGATGTTTTCCTTATTAACCATACCTTGAAAGCCCCAAATAAATGTTCCTTGGTTAAGATGCCCTGGTAGATGACCAAAGAAGTTGGACCAGTTATCAAAATCTACAAAGACTATATGTGTCATGGTTCGCAGGTAATCCAAATCTGGAAGCTCCACTTCTTCCTCTGAGAACACAGAAACAATGATGTGACCAGCATGAACCTCCTCTGAGCATTCTGACTTCTCAAGCCTAATATGCAAAATTCTGCATATTATTCATCTTGGTCTAAACCTCCTCATAAAATCCAAGTCTGCAAGACACAGTTTACACTTACATCAAATAAAAAAAAAAATCCCAATATTTCACATTTGATTACATATCCTTTTTATAAATATCTGCCTCTGATTGTTAGGCTTTTTCAAAAAGTCATTTACAAAAGGAATTTTTTAATTTATAAAAAAAATAAAGTACAGTGAGAGCTAGAAGTTTTAAGGTTCAGCAACCAAGAACTTGCATCATAAATCAAATCAAAGTTGAAGGTTACTACTAGAATTTGCTTCTTTTCCTAGCCAAGCCCTCCAGCACCATGATTAAAGGATGGAAGAAGGAGAGAAGCGGATCGAGGGGCTAGTGGCACATTAACACCAGCCATAAAGACTTCCATCTGGTTTTCTTTCATCTTCCCCATTTCCCAACTCGCCTTCTCTCTCCCCTTTCCCTTACTTTATGCCTTTCCACCCTGATTACAGTTTCCAGTGGTGGTAACACAAACCTTAAAATATTAAGTGATTTTAAAAATGAGTATCTTCTCCTCTGCCCAACAGAGTTCTGTCAGCTGTTATCACTGTATCCATTCCCATCACCAAGCCTCCTTACTTCTCTAAGTTCTCAGTAATTCTAACCTGGCTACTACAGTCATCTGTCACACACAGATGAACACAAGTTCTCAGAAAGTACCAAGAAGAGCAAAAGAAAAGTGAAAAAGACCCTAACTCTTAGACAACCCTAACTCTATTTCCCCTTAAGTTTCAAAAGTGAATGATGTCATAGGAATACAAATTCCTGAAAAGTCTATGGTGCAGTAACCAACTCATGATGTCTTATCCTGCCATGTCTCCTGCTTCGGAATTCAATCCCTGACTTACACGAAATGCTGTGCGCGGTGCATGTAGGTCTCTGCGTTAGCAGGTGCATCTGCAGAGCTGTGAAAGCCATACCTATGTTCTGACAGCTCAGGTCGTTCTCAGCTCCTTCTTCGGTGTCTGAACGTTTTGGATAGCTCACAGCCTGCTTCAGTTTCTTCTCTGTCCATGAAACACTAGCAGTGGCCCTGCACACGCTCCCCTTTTCAGGCCCGACACGAGCCCCACCTGGGTCCTGTCGGGTGCTGTGTTTTCTGTGGAAGTGCTGCTGAGCACTCTCAGGGTTGTGGAAGGCTTTGGTGCAGAAGCCACACTTGATCACATAGTGCTGCTGGTCCTCAGCACTCTCCTCTTCCCCGTGTGCTTCATGGATGTGTGCACTCATGTCGCTGAGGTGCTGTGCTGTTGCTGGGCACAAAGTGCAACGGAACCACAGCTTACCTCTCCCAGCATGACCTGCAGACATCTACCATAGTCTTCCTTTCTGTTGACTTTACACACGTAGCTTTCACGGCAACCGCAGGCTAACAGGTTACTGGTCTCTATTACTGGGAAATCATCCTCAGTTTTAATTGAAGTTTCCGTTTTTTCTGACACAAACACATAATCTATGCTGTGGTACTCCTTATAGTGACTCAGAAATGCATCTTCCACATTAAAGACAAGATCACAAAGCCCACAGAAGTATCTGATCTGGATCTCGTTGTCATGCTCATCTTGGCAATGCCGGCACAGCGTTTCTATTTTATGAAAGCTCTTTCTGCAATGGGCACAGCTGTATCTGTGAAACTGGTGACTTGCCAAAGACATGCAGTGCTGTTTCACACATTCTTGGGAGTCAAACATATCCTCACAGATTCGGCACTGCCATTTGCCTCTTGGAGGACTGCTTGCAGGGAAATGGTCAATAGCAGCAGTTGTTGAGGTGGGCCTGTCAGCAGTCAAATCACTCGCCATCGAGGAAGATGGCAAAGTGTCATCTTCTATTTCATCCACCTCATAAAAATATCTGTGGCCAGTATGAAATTCAGTCACATGTGCCATGATGGTATCTTTCTTTAACAACTCCTTTTTGCATGTCCGACACCAAAACAGAAAGTTATTTAAATGTGCCCCTCCATGAATCCGGCTCATGTGCAAACGGATGACCCCCGAGTCTTCACATACCTTTCCACAGACCACACACTTGTAACCCATTGTGTTTGCAGAGAACACATGCCTTTCTACTGCGTCTTCACTTGGGAATCGTTGATTACACTCACAATACCATGCTTTAACTCTTGACTTTTGATTCTGAATACAAACCACACTTTTATGGCTTTTATCTTCTAAATTCATCTTTTTTTTTGGAACAGCACTACAATCCTGTGAGCTCGATTCTTTAAGAGACATAGTTCGTTTAAGTGATGAGAATTTTGGTTGATCTAACAGTAAGTCAGAAGGAGGCTTTCTCCCTTCACTGCTGTGGCAATAAAGTAAGACTGATTCCTCCACTGAGTTAATGACTCGAATTCTGTGTCCTGAATTCTGCTCATGAGTTCTGGTGCTTGTTTCATCTATAAAGACTTGGTTGCAAGTTGGACAGTAACCTCTTGATATGAATTTTTCTGCAACCTGGATAATGCTTTTCTCGGCTATAGCTACAGGTCCAGCATTTCGACAACGAACCCTAAATTGGATTTAAACAAATCTCGTAAGTTTTTTGTAAATATACCATCACTGCTTTTTATAACAAAATTTTTTAAACAACATATAAAAAAAAGTACTAAAAGATAGTTTCCAGTAAAGATGCAGGTGATGTGGTGATATTCTATGCTCTCAAAATATACTGTCTTCCTAATCCACATACAAAAGTTTAAAGCAGAAGGAGATGATTAAAAATATTCAGGCAAACTTCAGAAAACTAAACTCAACGACTAATGCACTGATAAAGGACCTTACCAGACAAGCAATTTAGGCTGTCCAAGGTAAGTGAACTATGAGGAATACAAGAATCTTGACAACCTTCTAACACTTCTTTTTTGTTATTGTTGTTTGTTTTTGGTTTTCTGTTCTTTTGAGATAGTTTCACTATGTAGCCCAAGCTGGCCCATAACTCAGGATTCTCCTACCTCAGCCTCCCAGGTGCTGAGATTATAGGTGTGCAGCAACATACCCAGGTCTATCCTTTAAAAATTAATTTTTCTAGTTACAATGGCTCAGGAGACAGAGATTGGAAAGACTGTGGTTCAAGCCCAGTCCAGGCAGGAGCCCATCTCAACCAATGACTGGGAACAATGGTGCATGCCTGTCACCCCAGCTATATGGGAAGCATAAATAGGAAGATCACAGACCAGGCCAACCAGACTGGGAGACACTACCTTAAAAATAAACAAAAGGCAAAAAGGACTGGTGGTATAGCCCAAGTGATAGAGTGCCTGCCTAGCAAATATGAGATCCTGAGTTCAACCCCCAAGTACAACCACTACCACCCAAAAAAGAAATGATTAATTTTATGTCGAGAATATGCCATAGCCACATCTGCTTCTGCACTAAGACCATCCTAGTTATGGCTAAGTGTCCAGAAGTGCATAGCCATCACCGCAGTATCTTTCAGCTGTCCTTGCCCCCATGCTTCCCAGCCCAAGTGCTCACTAAGTCCTTTGCAACCACTTTCTGTCTCTATAGAGTTCCCCACTTTAGAATTTCATATGAATGAAACTGCATAATAAGTGGACTCTTGAGACTGGATTGTATCATGTAGCATGTTTTCAAAGTTAATTGCAGTTGTAGAATGCATGTGAACCTCATTCCTTTTTGTAGCCAAAATATTTTGTTGTATAAATAAGCCATATTCTGTTAGTGCATTTCTAAGATGGGGACATCTGGGTTGCTCTCTCTTACCAGGTGTGATAAATAATGCAGCTATAAACAAGCACTGAATTCTTTGCACAAACCTACGTCTTCAGTTTTCTTGGTCACATTCCTAGAAGTGGAAATAGCTAGGTCATAAGGTAACTCTATTGTATTTAATTTTTTAAGGAGGGGGAGGCTGAAATATTTTTAAATGAATGATAACGAGAACTGCAGAATGCACAGAAAGCAGTGCTTACAGGAAATTTATACTTTTAAATGTTAATACTGAAAAAGAAGATCCATAGTCAAGCTAAGCCTCCACCTCGAGAAGCCAGAAAAGTATTAAAGTTTAAAGAACAGAAAATAATGAACTGAAAAACAGGCAGACAACACAGAATAACCAGTAAAATCAAATGCTGGTTGTTTTAAAAATCAATGAAAATGAGAGATTAGAAAAATAAACATAAAAATCAAAGCAACCTCTTTTTAAACAATGGAATAAAAAATGTATTCCTAAAGATTTCTCATAAGAAAGCACACAAATGGTATTTAATGAGAAGATTCTGCTCATCAAAAGATAACTACAATATGCATATACAAAGTCACAGACAGGGACATTCATTTTGTCTGCGCCTATTTACTGTTGCTATCGAAAAATGCCTGAGGCTGGAGCCTCATAAGGAGTTCATCTAGGAAGCTCAACATGAGGAGGCTATATTCACCGAGGGGCATCATGATAAGTGATGGCACCAGAGGCTGGAGTGCTAGTGAAGAGAGGGGAGTGGGTACATGGAGGAGAGGCCACAAGTGGGGTAGACTCGCTTCACAACAACCCACTCTCAGCGTCACCACCCCACCCCGTGAGGGTGGCATCCTTACAACCCAATTACTCCTTTTGAGGGTCCACCACTTCTCAATGTGGCCACATGGAGGACCAAGCATCCAGCACAGGAACTCTGGGGGCAAATCATACCCTAAGCCAGAGCACATATTCCGTAGGAAGTTACAAAATCAACCATGACACATATTTTGCAGAAAGTCACATAACCCAGACACAAATTCAGTAAGATCTGTATCCAAATTACATAGAGCATCCCTACTCACTATTAAAAAGGCAAGCAATCCAATTTTTAAAATAGGCCAAATGCCTTGAATAGACATTTCACGAACAAAGCTAGACAAGTAATCCACAGACCCATGAAAAAGTGCCCAATACTGTTCACCAAAAACTGCATATTAAAGCCACAAGAGGACATTCAAATTAATAGCTCAAATGGGAAATTTGGCAATATGAAATGTGACAAGGATGAAACGAGAGCTCTCACACCTAGCTTGGCAGGACTGTTAACTCGCACATCCACTTTGGGAAAATGTTTAGTAGTTCCTTATTAAATCCCATATATACCTACTTTTAAATCAGCAGTTCCACTCCTGGATGTTCATCCAAGAGAAAGGAAAACATGTCCACAAAAAGTCTTGTACAAAATGCTCACAGCAGCTTTATTCACCTAAGCTGTAAGTGTAAACAGGCTAAATGCTCACTGACATGAGAAGTCATGAGCAAACTGCACTACACTCATGTAATGGAGTATTATTCTAGTAAAAAGGAACAATGTACTGAACAGTATGGATAAACTTCACAATACAGACACTATGACAAACACAGAAGAGCAGACAGTACGTGATCCCTTTACATGAAGTTCTAGAGATGACACACTAACATAAAGTGCAAAAAACACCACAACAGTGATTGGCTGTGGGTAAGAGGCAGGGACTGACTGGGGAAGGACAAAGGTGTGAGCTAACTAGACATGTCTACTTTTCAGAATACAAAAGGTAAGATCTGAACGCTTTGATTAATGTATAATCTCAAGACAAAGAGTCATTAAAAAATACAAGGAGAAAGGAATAGATGCAAGTATAAATAAAAGAATGGCAGTGACGATGATGACTGAAGCTACGTCATAGGTGCATGGGTATTCATTACCCTATTTTATTTACTTCACATAATTGAAATTTTTCACAATAAAAGTCTGAAATTTAAACAAAAGGGGCTGGGACTTGGCTCAAGTTATAGAGCACTCGCACAGCAAGCGTGAGGTCCTGAGTTCAACCCCCAGTACTACTACAGTAAATAAATAATAGATAAATAAAATAAAAGGCAGAAGCAGGATTTTGACCTCATGAAAGGTAAGTTAGAGAACCAGGACTATTAATCATTATATTCTGCTTCTTTAGTTTCATTAAGAACATATTTTATGCTTAGCTACTTGTGAGGCTGAGATTCAGAGTACTGTGGTTCAAAGCCAGCCTGGGCAAATAGTTGGTGAGACCTCCATCCCAAAAATAATCAGAGCAAAATGGACTGGAGGTGTGACTCCAGCAGTAGAGGCCTGCCTTCCAAACACCAAGTCCTGGGTGCTAATCCCAGTCCCATATACAATAAAAAGAACATATTTTTCTTGAAGATGTGTGAAAACAATTTTTCCATTTAAACAAATGCAATCATGTAACTTACTAAAACGCAAAGTTTTGATACATTTGAATATATAAGAAACTAGACCTTGAATCATTATTCCAACAAACCACCAACAAAAATTTCATGGAATAATCAGACTAGGTATTTGATATTAAGAAACTATCAAAGTTTTTAGTTATTTTTTAAAGAAGAGTCCTTATCATTTTATAAACACATCCTGAAGCATTTATAGATGAAATGAAATTACATGATATGTAGGACTTGCTTTAAAGTAGCCACTTCTAGAGGGTGAGCGTACAGATGCAACATGACTGTCGTGTTGATAATTCCTGAGAGCTGGGTGGACTGTACACTGGAGTTCATCACACTACTCCATAGCACAGTGTGATGGCCAATCTACTATGGAATCTCAGCACCCAGGATGGGGAGACAGAAAGCTCTCAAGGTCAAGGCCACCTTGGGCAACACTGCAAGACCCTGTTTCAAAAAATTCCGTTACAGGCTGGGCACGATACCTTATGCCTATAATCTCAGGCACTCAAGAGGCAGAGAACAGGAGGACCACAGCCTGAGGGAGCCAGGAGAAAAAGTTAGTGAGACCCCCCCCCCATACAATAAAACTAGGCATGGTGGCATGTGCCTGTCAGTACAGCTATGCGGAAGGTGTAATGGGAGGATCAGGGTCCAGGTCAGCCTAGGCAAAAATGTAAAACCCTATTCAAAAACAGCTCAAGTAAAAAGGGGATGGAGATGGCTGAAGTGGTAACATCCTACCTAGCAAGCAGTTCAAATCCCAGTACTAAAGTGGGGAAAAAAGTCACTCTAAAGACAAAGAAAAATCACACTGGAATCCAAACTGTCTTCCCTGAAGAATTAGTCTTCATATGCATTGACCCATTCTGGTAATCTTACCGCCAAGGTGCAGTTCTAAGCCTCTTCTCCCCTGCTCCCACATTCCCACAGCAAACACAAAACACAATTGTTAGCTTATTTATAGTCACAGCAGTATCTACACATCCACTCTTTTCTCACATCTCCAACCTCTTCAACTATGCTTCAATTTGGCTAATGTCCAGGAAAGTGTGTATCCTTATTTTAAAGGGACACAACTGTGGAATGGAAAGGTACCTGCTGAATCCTTGTACTGGCTGCAGCCTAGGACTGGATCTGTACCAACCTGAAATGGGCAGTGAGCTCCATGTGGGAACGCAGTGTCTGGTGGCAGGCCACACACCTGACCTGAAATGGAACGTCTTTGCACAGAGAGATGAGAAGTTTCTTTGCAAAAGATGGAAATGATATTGGATGTGCTATTCCCTTGTCATCTGAAAGACAAAATAAACTACAACGTGCAAAGTAATCTGAACAGAGTGACCCAGACTTTCTCTGCTTTCACTTTTTCAACATGAGCTAGAATAAGTATCTACGTAATTTAATTTTATGGGAAACCATTTTCTAGCCTCAAATAAAAGGGTGCCTCATACTCAAAATACAGAGAAACACCCAATCTCCCAGATATCATAGACATAACAAAACATTATCCTGAATAAATATTTTCTTTATAAGTTTCTGTTTATCCTCAAAGTAAGTAAACCTAACAGGTTTCAAATAAATACTGAGAATCTTTTTTTTAAAAAGTAAGAATTTAAATAAAAATCCATCACATTCACAGTTCTAAAACTAACGTGAGGATAAGCAACTTCAAAAATGACCTGAGAAGTATATGATTAGCAAAAGCTAAAGTTTAGTGATTTTCACCAGAAGAGATATTAACATACCACCCAGTTTAAAGCTCTGATGGAAGTGATTCTTTCCAGACATATGCTTCAAGCACTCATCCTTGCTGCTAAAAAGAAGAAAGCAATTTGGACACGCAAAGCACTGAATAACCTGAGGAAGAAGGCTGCTGCTGTGCCCGTCATCTGCAGCTACCTACAACAGAAGGAGGCTGTGTCATGGCCAACCAATATCAATGCTCAGGTTTTAAAAACAAACTTTCAAACTTTTCTGTTTATTATTCATTTAGAAAATTTTTATCAATTTTTTAACATGAAAACTTTTATTCCTGGAATGTGAATAATGAAACTTTTGATAAAAAAAGATATCATATGTAAAAGTTAAATTTTTTTCCCGGAAAACAAATTATAGCCATCTTTCCATGACAAAACATCAAAGAACATTTTCTACATATTTCATTTCTTTTGTATGCACTCATATGCAGTATATTAGTACATAAATGTGATCACAATACATACACTTTTTCTAACACTTTGCTTTGTTCACACTACCTTCAATGTCCTTGAAGGTTATAAATACACACTCTTCTATAAACTTGTCTACACTTAAATCATTTACAAAGACACAGAATTAATTTACAAGGGGCACGTTAACTGTTTTATCAAAGGGTCATCTTATAGACTCTCCTGTTAGTTTTCTCATGCCATCATAATGGAAATTCCTAAAAAAAAAAATCTACTAGCATAGTTTAATGCATACTTTATGGGGTTATTTTGTTCTTGTTTTGGTTTTTTTTGGTGTGGCTAGGGTTTGTACTCAGAGCTTCATATTGTGAAGCAGGCTCTCTACCACTTGAGCCAGACTTTCAATCCATTTTGTTCTGATTATTTTGAACATGGGGTCTTGTGAACTATTTGCCTTAGTTGGCCTTGAACTGTGATCCTCCTGACCTCAGACTCCCGAGTAGCCAGGATTTTACAGCCACCAGTGCCCAGCTATCCATGTTACCCTTGTAGCAACCCCAGGAAGTTCCATTTTTATTATTTACAATCATTACTACTACCACCATTATACCTATAAAGAAGTTATACCCCTAGAAGCAACAAACATGCCATTCAAACTCAGCTTTGAATCTTTGGTTATGAATTCTATGCTCTTTTCACTATCCTACCACAACCTCTGATCTTGTTTTGATTTGATGAGTGCCACACAGAAGAAGTAACACCTGGCGGATATTTGGAATTCCAATTAGAAGGTTCTAAATGATAAGAACAATAAGGGAAGCCAGGCAAAGTATCACACACTTATAATCCTAACACTCAGGAGGCTGAGGCAGGAAGATCAAGTTTGAGGTCAAATTTGGCTACATAGAAAGTTCCAGGCCAACCTGAGCTACATAGCAAGAAGTTGTCTCAATAAAACAAACAAACAAAGAGCAATAAAGGCATTTATAACCACCAATTTATATAAGTTTCTCGTATTTGAAGAAACTAAAACTAAGTAAAGAAATTTTAGTTCAATTACAAGTTATAAATGGATCCAAAATTAGTTATTGTTTAAATTATTTGTTAAATAGAATCAAAACAGAATTCTGCATAAATTTTCATTGAAACATACCTATTATAAAAGTGTGACATATTTGAAAATGCCTTCTACAAACTGAGGGAAGAACTGGAAATATCATGTCTATTAAGTTAGCCTAATCGATTTCTTTTTGTCATGTTTTTGGTTAAGTAAAATAAAATACATTGCAGAAATATGTACGTCAGAAAAGTAAAGCCACAATGAGACTAATTCATCCATGTGCATAACTATGTTCAGAAAGATACACCCTGTGAGAACGGCAAGGATGTGGGGAAACCGGAAGAGTGCATCCACTGCCACTGGGCAAGTGAAACGGAACCGAGAATTCCACAGGAGTTAGGCAGTGCTTCAAAAATTAAAGAGTTACCAGATGACCCAGCAATTCCACATGCTAGAGGGGTCAAAACACAAATCCATTCAGACTTGGATATTTGACTATGGAAGCATTACTCTAATTATAGTCACAAAGTAGAAACAAACCAAACATCCATACACTGATGAGCTGGTATCCATACAAGTATTACTTAGCAATAAAAACATATTAAATACTGATACATGATAAACATGGACAATCATTAAAAATATTATAGCTAAGTGTAGTGATTTGGATATGAAGTGCCCTCCCCTGCCCCAAAGGCTCATTCATGTGCTGAAGGCTTGGTCCCCACTGCTGGATCAAATCCCTGACTGTGACTGGATCATGAAGACTCTGACCTAATTGATGGATTAATCTACTGATGGACTCCTAATGTGATGACTTATTGGGAGGTGGCAGAAACTTTGGTAGGTGGGGCCTAGTTAAAGGAAGTAGGTCAAGGAAGGTATGTCCTTGGGAGTCCCTCTTTGTTTCTCTCCTTTTGCTTCCTTGTTGCTATGAGGTAACCAGCTTTCCTTTCTCATGACCTTCCTCCATGATGTTTCTGATTTGCCAATGGAGCCAGACTACTGTAGACTGAATCCTCTGAAATTGTGAGCCAAAATGAATCTTTCCTCCTTTGAACTGTTACTCTCAGTTTTTTTGTCACAGTGATGGAAAGTCTTCAGTAAATAAAAGAATTTAGTCGCTAAGACCACAAATTGACTCCATTTATATGAGATATAATAGTTTAGTGGTTGTCTAGGGCTTGGGAGGACTGGCTAACAAAGGAGAAAAACCAACTTAGATGATAAAATAGTCTCAAAAACAGAAATAGACACTGAGGTTCACAGAAGCTGATAGCATATCTACCACTCTCCTTCCCCTCCCCGCAAAAGTGAGAAAAGACGTTACCTGATGACACAATACACTGGGGATGTCTTTAAGGTCAAATGTCACTAAATACGTGCTACTCAAAGTATGACCAAAGGACCAGCACTGGCATCACACAGGAGCTTGTTAGCAATAAGAATCTAAGGCCCATCGCATACCTAGTGAGCCAGAATCTGCATTTTATCAAAACATTCATATTCACATTAAATTTTAAGAAGACCTAGCATAGAAGGAAACAGTCAGAAATGAGAAGGGGAGAGGAACAAGGGGAACATTCTCATTGGAGAATGTCATCTTTACAAAATCAGATTCACAGCAATGAAAAACAATGTGGCTTATACAATCTTCCAGTGACCTCTTCTGGTGGATTTAAAAGACTAGTAGGAAGTGTATTACTTCCTACTAGTTTCCTGTACAGTCCTCAGGACAGGCAAACCAGGAATATGCCAAGAGCATGAAACTAATAAAATTAACAGTGGATCGCAGGTCTGTCTGATACCAAACCTTTTGCTCTTTTTACTTTTACCATGATGCTTCTACTAAGAAAGCAGAATGCCACAGATCTAATTCTTGGAGAGAAGGCAAAACAGCATGGAAGGTGTGATTCCCACAAAGAAAATGAACAAATTAATGAAATCTGGGAAACACAAATTGAAGAATTAATTTAAGATTATTCAAATTTGCAAAAGAAAAAAGACAAGTGTGCATATTACAAAGAAAAAGCACTTGGAATGTGAACCAAGGAAATATGCCCTGAAAGAACTCAAGCTCGAAAAAGAATATTATGCTACAAACACTTTAAAAACGATGGGAACACTGGGCATGGGGGCACACACCTGGCATTACTGGGGTTTGAACTTGGGGTGTCATTCTTACTAGACAGGTTGCTTTACCACTTGAGTCACTCTGCTAGCCCAGGGATCATGAGTTTGAAGCCAGCTTGGACTACCTATTGAAACCCGTCTCCAAACAAATAAAAATTATGGAAAGCATTACTCTTGCGCTCTCTCCTCCTCTTTTCTCAAACCTCCCATATGTCGTGGCATTTTTTTCTTCAATATCTTTTTGCTTCACTTTAAGGTCTTCATTCTAAGTGTCATTATTTCAGTCACACTTACTCTCATCTTAAAGTTAAGTTACTGCAAAAGTCACTTAAATTGGTCTCCTGTCCACATCTTGAATCCACTTTGATTCAAGACCATTGAGTCTTTTTGGTGTCCCTAAAAAAAAAGGGGTGTGGGGCGGGGTGGGGGAGGAGAAGGGAAGAATAAGGTTCTAGAATTTTAAGAACTTCCAGCTCTAAAGGTATAAATCATTATTTTCATCATGGCACTGCTCTGTAACAGTGTTCTCCAGGATCAAGTTCGAAATCCAATGCCTTTACAATTGTCGGCCATCTGTGTTGGCCATCCCACAAGACTACCTACCCTCAGACACCTATACTCACTGCTACGACTTATTACAGCAAAAAGTATACAAAGCAAAATCAGCACAGGGAAAAAGACAAAGGACATGACAGAGAAAATGAGATATAAGAGTCACACAGGACACATTTAATTCCTCCATCAACAAGATGAGGTATGATACATATGAACTATGGTCTACAAGGCTAGTTATCAGACATTCAGTGTCCAGGGGCTGGTCATATAAGCAGTCTCTGCCTAGAATGTACCAGACTCTGAAAGCGTGCAGTCTAGACACAGTGAGGCAATCTCAAAATCCAAGATCCTAGACACTAGCTAAGACCCAACATGGCAAACCTTGGTAAGGACAATAATCTCAAGCTGCTGTATGAACTCTTCTGCAAACTGCAATTCCACCATAAGCTCCAACCTTACTTGAATTCCATCATTGTACTTCCATCTACCCAAATCCCATCTTTGAGGTCCTACTCTCTTCCACCTGTGTTGTCAGATTTTCTGATGTGTTTCTCCTCTTTCTTTCTCTGAAGTCCAGTTTTATTTTGTTTACCATTGAGGCTTCATTCTAGAACTCAAGCTCTCTGTGTGTAACAGCTATTATTGATCCCTCTCATACTACAGATGCAGTCTCTCAAAAACTAATGACTGTGTACAACAAAGTCTGCTTCAAAAATGCACATCTGGGGCTGCAGGAGTGGCTCAAGCAACAGAGTACCTGCCTTCCAAGTATGAATCCCTGAATTAAAACATAGGTAACACACACACGAAAAAAAAATGTTCTGGGAATATTCTTTGCTGCTAGGGCAGGAAGGGCTACAGAACTCAACTTGATATACTTGAGTGAGTAAGTTTTAATTCTCTACTGTGAGCCTACACAGAATCTTAGCTCTGTCCTTCTTAATTTTCAGAGATAGTTCTTGATATAAGCAAATTCTGAAAACATGATTTAGGAAAAACTACTAATTTGTGGACATTACCACTTCATTATATCAAAACCTAATATTCACTCAGAAAACCCATCAAGTATGGAGTTCTCACAGGTTCTAATTTACCAGGATATTTAACGTGGTACTCTTTTTTCATTTTCCAGTACTAGAGGATCAAACCCAGGGGCATGCTAGGCAAGCACTCTACTACTGTGCTACACCCCAAGCCCTTAGTTTTTGAGAAATGGTCTCCCTATGTAGCTCAGCCTGGCCTTGAACTCACTATGAAGCTCAGCCTGGCCTAGAACTTAGCATCTTCCTGCCTTAGCTTCCCAAGTACTGGGATTACAGATGAGTATCAGCATGCCCAGTCAGCACTGCTTTTAAAGACGGAAGTTAAACAATTCATCCAAATGAAACTGACTAAAATGTAACACAGTCAAACAGAAGAATACTATTCATTGATTTAAAATGTAAAAATGTGTGCATTACTCAATTATTCACAATTCACTGCTATTTTTAATCACAAGACAATTTAGATACTTCATCCTATGTAAAAATATTTGTAATATAAAACATATACATCAAAATGTTAAGAGTGATTTTATCTCTGTGAGGGTAAGAGTACATTCTTATTTTCATTTTCTTAACGTTTTTAAATAATGAACATAAATAGTAATCCCTCCTTTATCTGTGGGGTAATTGGTTCCAGGATCCCTTGCAGATACCAAAATCTGACAGTCAAGTCCTTTAAATGAAATACCATAGTATTTATACATAACCTACGTACATCCTCTGATGCAATCTTTTTTGGCGGTACGGGGGGTTGAACTCAGGGCATTCCACTTGCTAGGCAGGCCTCAACCATCTGAGCCACACCCACGGCCCATCCTCTGGTATACTTTAAATCACTTTAGTTTACTTCTAATACTTAATATAATATAAATGCTAAATAAACAGTCATAATACTATATTGTTTAAAGAACAACGACAAGAAAAAAAATAGTACATGTTCGGGCCAGACACAAAGTTTTGAAAATGTGTTTGAATCCACAGATACTAAACCCACAGACATGGAAGTCATGCTTTTGCAACACTCACAAATCATAGAAGAGATATACTACCAAATATGGTAAAAACCCACTGGAATTCTGTACTACATGGGTTTGCATACTTACGAATCAACTCACGCCCCTTGAGATTTAACAGTTAATGAGACCTAAGTAAGTCTTTTAATACAAGCTCCATTTCTTGACACTACCATTTAAGTAAAGGTAATGCACTTAACAATAGGGTCTGAAGGAGTCAGTGGCTCACATATGTAATCCCAGCTACTCAGGAGGCAGAGATCAGGAAGATCTTGGGTCAAAGCCAGCCCTAGCAAATAGTTCTCAAGACCCCATCTCGAAAAAACCCATCATAAAAAAGGGCTGACAGAGTGGCTCAAGCGGTAATAGCACCTGCCTAGCAAGTGTGAGGCCCTGAGTTCAAACCCCAATGCTGCCAAAAAAACCAAAAAACCAAAAAGAATAGGGTCTGATTCCTCATCATGAGATCAACTCAAGAGCATCTTGAACAAGGAAAATTACAAGGCAATTTCACCTCACGGAGCAACTCCACGAACAAAAGAGGTTTCAGTCACAATCTCTAGGACTGGTGGCTTGCTTTTAGCTATCAAGTTTACCTGCCCACAATAATTTAATGCTCCAATCATTTTATTTTCAACAGACAGCTTTTATCCACATGTGCATCATTAGTAATTGCAAGCTTAGGAGCAAAATGAACAAAACCCATACCAACTCCACGATTATCTAGACAAAGAATATCTATTCTTAGGATGTGCTCTTACCTTGTCAAAAAGATGATCCCTGTATTGCTGCTGGGTGACAAATTTTTTGTAACATACTACACAAGCAAAGGAACTGGCCAAAGGTCCCCGTAATGTGATTGCTGGGTCACACGGAGAGTGGTCAAACCTACCCAGCAAAAGGGAAGTAGCATTACAAAGACGTATGATCTGGGGGATGAGGTGTGTGTTGTATTTGTGACACACACACACACGCAGATAAACAAAGTCTTCTGCACTTCTCTTCCACTGAAATATTAAATAATGTTCTTCAAATTTAAGAAATATTAACTTATTCCCAAATGCCAGTCCCCTCACAGTGACCAACAGATAGCTGAAGAGTTCATAAAAGTAGTCAAGATCCTACAAAAGGGACTTAACATTTCTTGCCAATTTAAAATTTATAAGCCCACTATCTTTTCCTCTTGTTTTGATTACCACGAGACCCCAAGTAACTTTAAATGATTCACAAATAACTTATTAAATGAATGATACCCCCATCTTTAGACTTTTGGCATGGTCGCAGATATATAGTTCAGTGGTAGAGCACTTGCCCAGCATGATCCAAGTCCTGAGTTTGATCCTCAACAGCACAAAAACACAAAAAGCAAAAAAATATTTCTGGCAATCTGTTTCCTGTAAATGGCTTTTAATGCTGTCAATGTTCATTTTAACCACTTAACAAATCTGTGTCATTATAAGTTGTCTTCAGATTTTTAAAAGGTGAAGGGAGGCATAAGTAGAGTGAGTCTTCTGGAAAGCACTTGGAGCCACAAACTCTCAATTCTCCCCCTTTCAACTACTAGAAGGGAGGCTGAGAGAAAGATTTACACTGCTGTGCTCTACGATTAAAAACCCAGCAGACTGAGAACCATTTTCATACACAGAATACTTTTTAAATTAATTTTGCTTACACTGATTTGCCTTTAGTATTTATTTTATAATCCCAAATTAGCTTCTATAAGATAGACCAAGTATCTGTTAAGTGTTCTGTGTCTCTTGAAATTTACATTTACGGGCTGGATTTCTCTAAAACTAACAAAACTACATTTCTACACAAAATGTCTGTTCAGAATTTTCTTAGACATACTAAGGAAAAATGCAAACCTAAAGGCTATCATCACTAGAAAATCTGACATCACAAATCCTTCTAGGAAATCTAAATATAAATTAGAAATAATCACATCAAAATAGTACAAAACAACTTGTATTCTGAATATAAAGCTACAATCACAATGGCACTTTCATTTAACAAAATCACTTTGGGGGCTGGGGTGTAGCTCAGTAATGGAGTGTTTGCCTACCATGCACTAGACCCCGGATTTGATCCTCAACACCACAGAGAACAAAAACAAATAGGTAAATCACTTTGCACTCACTCAATCCTCAGCACCAACGATTCTGAGTACCCTACTTACCTTTTCAAATGTCCTAAGAGAAGATGCCCATTGTCAAATTCCTTGTTACACTGCATTATAGGACATGAAATTGGTTTCTCAGACTTTCGAATTTGGCCTCCTCTTCGGAATGTGCTTCTCATTCCAGAACTAATCACACCTGTTTTAAGTCCTACAACAACAGAATACACATTCTTCAGTTACTATTTCATACACTTGTCCTTTTAACTAACTGGTGATTGAAATTATGACAACACAATGAAAATTAAAACCATTGAGTGGATGGTCCTAATTATAATTGTTTACAATCTCGCTTACAATAGATATAATAACCTAAAAGTAAATACAGTTGTTTGGGACAAAAACAGTCTTCAACATCTCTACTTGACATTCTCTTAATGGGGAAAATCCATTTCCTTAAATTCAATAGTCAAGAAATGTCAAAGATAACACATATCAGAAAGCAAGCCCCTCCTTCCTCATTTCACTTACATAAGTTGGTAAAAATCTTTCTTTTATTCCAATTCTTATTTTCTCTTTTAATTATTTTAAATGTACTATATAGTTGAGCTAACTTGAGCTAAGTGACAGATGGCCTGGGTTCTACGAAAATTATGTTAAACAGTGTAACTGAAGAGAAGAGTGGAGAGTGAAGAGGGCAGGGCGGCAAGGAGGGAGCATGCAATTTTCTCAATCAGCTCCAATCTGGACGTCAGGTGACACAGGTGTCCGCAATACCAAGTTTAAAGAACACAAAGCAGCGACTTGTATTTTGTCTCTTCTCTTTTGCCATCTTTACCATCTCTTAATCGACCTCTTTTTGTCCAGGTCTGTTACTTCCCTTCCTTTTACTATAATCTTGATTTTATGGTCATGCAACTCTTGTAGACTAATCCCTTATCAAACTTTCTCAGGAAAACTACCAACACATGATGTGTGTTGTATAAAAAGAGAATTGTGAAACTGCCAAGAGGATTCCAACGCACTGATAGTTTGATACATTTCTCTTACTACTCTTTTGTTGATGATTGCACTCCAATGTCTTAAATATTTTATACAATAGAAAACTGGGTATTTATTTTTATGGCAGTCTATATAAAGCTTCTAATCATCTAACAAGAATAAAAATTTTCCATTAGCATAATTTAATGCCTTATATATCTTAGTCTTTATGTGGTGAATGTGTCTAACTATCAAATGCATATAAATGCACTCTGGCAACAATAAATGGAGAAGACAGCATAAGGCATTCAATGATAATCCTTTTAGTGAGTGAGTGAGTGAGTGAGTGAGTGAGTGTGTGTGTGTGTGTGTGTGTGTGTGTTGCTAGAGATCAAACCTGAGGCAAGTGGCCTACCACTTAGTTAAACCTGCAGCCTTATCTTTAAAATTTTTAATGCTATCACAATTATGACAGTTTTATGAGTGTTCATTCACATTCTGGATGCCTCCCATTAGAACCTTTATTTAGTTATAAGTAGATCCTGGATAAAAGTTATGTTGGAAAAAGAAATTAATCCTTCCCTACCCCATGGGAAGGCAAAATACAGTCTAAACAACTTTTCATTTTAAATCGTGTAGAGAGCATTGTTTAAAAATCAGTAACAGTTTAAATTTATGCAAATGAACCCTACTATAAAGAACCATAAAAAATGAATTGTCAAGTGGGGCTTGGAGGCCCTTGTCTGTAATCCCAGCACTAGGGAGGCAGAGCTAGGAGGCTCTGGAGTTCAAGACCAGCCTAAGCTGCATAAGGAGACCATGTCTCAAAAAACAAAAACAGTCTATGGCCATACCACCTTTAACGTGCCTGATCTTGTCTCAAAAAACAAATTAAAAGAAAAAAAAAGGGATGAACATGTGGCTCAGTGACAGAGCACTTACCTAGCATGCATTAGACCCCACTAGACCCTGGGTTCCATCCTGAGAGCTGCAAACAACAGGACTATTCAAAATTAGAGTAGTTATAAATGAAATAAAGTAATTTTGATTAAAAAGAAAAAAACCCCTAAATTATAGCTGGGATCCAGTGGCTCATGCCTGTAATCAGAGCTACTTGGGAGACTGAGATTGGGAGGCCAGCCTGGGCAAATAATTCCCGAGATTCTCATGTCCAAAATAAACAGAACAAAAACAGATTGGAGACATGGCTCAAGCAGTAGAGCATTGCAAGGGTGAGGCCCTGAGTTCAAACCCAAGTCCCACCAAAAAAAAAAAAAAAAAAAAAAACCTGAAATATAGTAGCTAAGAACTATAATAAGAATAAACCGAGTCCTTTAAGCTTCCTGAAAAGTAGAAGTTCATGTTCTATAATTAAATAGAACCGTGGTTCTTCTGTTTCTCAAGCTACACTCTCTATAAAGATCTCAACACTCTCCAAAACCCATTTATGAAATGGTACTATACAGTTCAATATTAGGGCTAAAAATTAAACTCTAGGCTCAAGCTAAACTGATTGCTACCAACAAGCGAGGTAGAACCTGAAGGCAAAGAACTAAGCCTTACAAGTACCATAAAATCACAGCTAAAAACTCATTTGTTCCCACTTGGTCTGCTCAAAGAAATACAGACAATTTAGTATGCATAAAATACTCTGGCAATTGAGAGACCAGGAATTAGGCCTATAGGGACATATTACTGACCCAACAACTATTCTATATGGGACCTGAAAGTGTTAAATTTTAGAGATAATAGAGGCTTACAGTTCTAGCCTATATTCCTATCCACCTAGAAATCTTCCCCAAAGTACCGATGTCCTAAAAAACCTCTAGAGTTGATGGGGCCCAGGCATTTATTTAAAAGTTCCCAGATGATTCTGATGCAGCTAAGGTGAAACCACTGAGATAGTTACTAACTTCTTCCACTGAGAACTAAATGCACATCAATAGGGACTTTAAAAACTATAAATTTTAGAAGAATATCCTAAAAGGTAAAATCATTTTCCATATTTTTAAACTATGGTAAGGAGGTCTAAAATTCCATAACATTCTTTTGCTTAACAAAATAAAAGTCAAATTTGGAACCCAAGTGATAGGCTTCTTTGTTCATTAGGCAAATATCTGAGTATTATATTCAACCAACATGTATTGAGCACTCCTATACTAGGCATTCTTTTTATGAACTGACACTATAAAGACCAGTAAGACTTGGTTTGTGTTCTCAAAGAGTGTATGGGGTTAGGTGGAGCAGAAGTTAAACTATCAAAAACTACTGCATCAGGAATGAATTGCTAAACACCAATAACTAGAAATTATTAGAATTAGTTTATAAGAAGCAACGTGACTACATACAAAGGAAAGCCCCCTGACAGTTAACTTTAGAATGGCACGGTATCTAGGCTGATGAAGTTAAGCATGTCATGCACAGGCATTTCTGATAATTTCTTGCAAATTAAACCTTCTGCTACAGTAAATCCACAACTAAGGTTTTTTAAAGAAGACTAAGAAAGTTGTCACAGTGGGACTCTCCTACTAGTGTTTGTAAGTTCCCAATTATCTACTGGAGGAGAACTGTTCCATAGTGACCCTTCCAGGAAGTGAGAGTTAGTAATGAACACTCAGGTGGGCACTTCCTCACAAATGTCTACATAGGCTACACTGATAAATAAGCAGACTTAGTCCTCTAGGTCTCAGTTTAAATTCCATTTCCTTAGAAAAGCCTTTCTGACCTCAACTAAACTGTTATACACCCACCCACAGACACACAATAACCATTAAGTATGTGAATAAATGAACAATATCTAATGAGCTCTGGAATGACCTATATTGCTTATAATCAAAATATACTTGTGCAAAGTAGGCATAATAAAACAGGCCATTGTAAACTGATAATACCATCACTAAAACTAGATTTCGACACCTCATATGCTTATGAGTAAGAGCATAAAAGAGACATACTTTTGGTTTTTAGGCTTTCAGGAAGCTAAGTAACCTTAATGCAATCTCTGAAGAATACCTGGCATTTTTAGCCACTGGTCCACACACAGTCTTGCTGCTTCTGTATCAGAATGTCCTCGAATAAATTCCAATTCTTGTAACCCATGAGCATGCTGAAAATCAACTTTTTCCTGAAGAGCAAGAAAAAATTCAGTTGACTTGTGATTACTACCCAGTTTCCTTGGAGAAAAGATTTCAACACATCAATGATCAGAAAATACTGATTGCTCTTTATCCAAGGACTGCACATCTAGAAATCTACACTAAAGATACATTTACATCAAACAAAGGTCCCTGCTCTGAGATGCCTATCCCAATGTCACTTGCTCAAAGTCTGCTGCAACCTACACCTCAAACAACAGAGTAATATGTAAATAAACTCTAATATGTACACTTGGTGAAAATCATTAGAACTGCTATACAAAATTTTTCAATGTATTGAGCATACACTTTTGACACCAAGTAGTGTCACCAAGTTGTATTAAACAAATGAGGCAAAATATAGAAAAAGAATAATTTCAATTTATATGCAACTCCATTTGGAGAGAGGGAAAGGACCTGTGTATGTGTGTATATAGCTATATCTACATATACATATATGTAACTATATATGCCAAATGTTATTAAAGCTATCTCTGAGAATGGAAATGTGAAGGATTACTTTCATTTTAAACTTCTAAACATTTTTTTTCAAATTATCTACAGTAGTCTAAAATACAGAAGGCACTTAATAAATACCTGTCAGTAAAGAGTATTAAAATCAGGTACTCAACAGTAATTAATGTCCCAGGATAAAGCACTTTTTGCCATTTACATTATGTTTGGCAAACATTTTCCAAAAGGAGGAAGAGCATAAATATTTTAGGCTTTGCAGGCTCTAAGTTCTCTACTGCAACTTCTCAACTTTGCTGTTATGGCACCTCACCACCCACCAACAGTGTGCAAATAAACAGTCGTAATCCAGTAAGCTTTCATGCAGAAAAACAGCCAGTAGGCCAGTGCCAACTGCTGAGGTAGAAGTCTCTTAATCCTTCTAGTTATGTTATCCATAAACCAATGTATACTAATTATTCTGTACTTAACAATTAATACTTACTGACCACCTGCCATGTGCCACGCACTGTTTTATTTTTCCCATTTTGTGATGGAACAACTGACGTACAGAGAGATCAAATACATTGTCTAAGGATAAGAACAATGTCAGGATTCAAACTCTGTCAATCTGATTCTAGAACCCATGCAGAGACAAGTGCATCTCCCTGTCCTTGAAAAGACTTATGTGGACAGTCAGCTCTCTGCATCTATGTGTTCCACAGGCACTGATGTGATCAACCTGTAATCACAGATTTTCTTTTTCTTGTCATTTTCTAAGCAATAATGGTGTAACGACTATTATGTAGCACTGACACTGCATTAGGTATGATAAGTAACCTAGAGATGACTGAAAGCATACAGAAGAATTGTGTAAGATGTGCAAATACTATGCCATACCAATAAGAGATTAGCACATCCATAACTTTGGTATTAAGGAGGTCTTAGAACCAACCCACCAAAAATAATGAGGGACAATGGTGCTTAAAAATAAATCAGAGTCAGAAACACTGGATTTGCAAGAAACAGGGCAGAATAATACATGGTCTAGTTAGCAATATAACAAGATTTTTTATAAGGGTAGCTGGAGGGAAAAGATGAATTGAGATTTTCATCTGAAGAATACACAACAGCCACAAAGTATTAATCCTCAAGGATCTAGAGATGCAGTATCTACATTATTTAAATTCTCTGTAATCAAATTAAGTAAGTTCAGAAACACTGGCTTTCCAGCAAAATTTTTAAAGGCTCCCTTCATGCAGGACTTCTGAAGTCCTCAAGTGCTAACGTACATGGGATTTTTCCATACGAAGTGTCTCCATGTCACAAATCACCAGTTTCTTACAAAACTCATTGTAATAAAAACTTTTCAACACAAGTAATGAGATGAAATATTACTCTATAGCAGCCACTAGCCTAATTCAATAATTTCTAATAATTAAAATTCACCCTTTTTAAAAGTTCTCTGGCACTTCTTAAAACAGATTTTGAAGTCTGTAAACACACATCATCAATGCTCAAAAACACCTGAGTGAAATCACCCCAAATGAGCCATCCTGCTCCTGTCAGAAAGCTATTTCCACAAACTACAGAGCTATAATACTTCTTCAAAGTCACTCCCTACCCCATCCCCTTTTTTTTTATGGGACTGGGGTTTGAACTCAAGCCCTCTACTGCTTCAACTACAAGTCCAATCCATTTTGCTCTTGTTATTTAGGGGATGGGGTCTCACGAACTGTTTGCCTGGGCTGGCCTCAAACCCCGATCCTCCTGATCTCAGCCTCTCAAGTAGCTAGGATTACAGGTGTGAGCCACCAGCACACTGCTCTTGCAAGTCATCTTAACATCTGGAATATCAGTAAGCAGAGCTGCTAGCTGTTTAACTGCTCAGCACAACAAATGATCTGGAAGTAAAAATTGTGATGAACCTTTTTCTTTAAACCTCTCCATTACCAAAGGAAGACACCAAAAATTTACACAAGCCAAAATAGAAGACATTTTCTATGTCCTTTTGTAGCTACAGTAATCACCCAGCAGAATTCTTCTAAAATTATGTGCTTCATTTTTTTCCCTCTCTGGGTATTTTTTGCTGAGTTGATTGATTTTGTTTTTATGTTTTGTCATGTTGTTTTTATTCCATTTTGTCTTTTACGGTACTGGGGTGTGAACTCAGGGCATCACTCTTGCTGGGCAGGTGCTCTACCATTTGAGCCATTATCCCCAACCCTGTTTTGTTCTGCTGTTGTTTTCTGAGACAGGGTCTCACTACGTCATATAGGATGGCCTCAAACTTGTTATCCTGCTGCCTCAGCCTCCAAGTCCTGGGACTGTAGAGGGGCGTGACCATGCCCAGCACCCTCTGATTTTAGAAAGCAAGTTAGCCATAAAGGTAATCAAGTAAAGAAAACAACATCATGGATAGACAGGAAGCAAAGGGCAAACACCTTGTTTTGAGTCATTTTCTTTCTTACAGAAGAATGAAATCTAGACAAATTTATTCTTTTAACTATTTAAACAAAAAAATTTACATTTAAAAATTTCAAAAGAGTTTCTTCAATGCCTGGGTAAAATCTTTACTACAAGGTACATTTACATGAGTCAAGAAAAGCCTCTGTGGTCACAACACTGTGAGCTTTTCTCCATGTGCCGTTAGCAACGGCTGCAAAAAGAAGTCAGAATCACTGGAGAAAGTGGGGGAAGTACAGCAGTACGGCAGATGGCAAACAACTCCCCTCTCAAAGAGGTTTTCTCCATGACTCATAAAAACAGAAACAAATCACATGGTGACATAGTTTGGGGTACAGAACTTCTCTAAAATTGCATAGTCACAGTGCCACTGCCAGGGTTAAAATAATACTATGTATGTGTATATGTGTGTCTGTGTGTGTTTATACAATAAATACTACGCATACAATTAGAACAATGGTCTAATTTAATTAGTATTACACCATAAAATCCCCAAACCAATCTACTTTTAAATTTAGAGGTTAATTTACTTTATACCAGATAGTAGATATTCCTTTACAATTGTCAATGGAACAAAGAATCAAAAACATAGATGTTAAAATTATAAAACCCTAGTGCTTATCCTGACATGAAAGATCATTTTAAAGTTGTCCTTTTAATGGAATGAAACCTAGAGCCTACAAAATTCAAGTGAACTGTGAAACCCAGACAGTTGCTGAAGAGTGACAATCTGAATCTCCATTTCACACTTCCAGGTCTGTCTTATCCAATGCATCAACACTCTACTCCTAATAGGCATTTGTCAATATTGAGGGAGTTCTGTAAGTAATTTCACTTGGCACCTTGTAGAGCAAGTCTAAGTGCTTTTAATAATGTGCAAGATTCATTTTCCACATAAGCAGTTCTTCTTACAACCCTGTTTAAAATTATTAAAAATAATTAAAATACTTATTTTAATTATTTAATTTGGAGAAATAGGATGAAATTTGACAAAGTGCTCTGGCTCTATGTAGTACAAAACAACCTTTCAGTTTATCCTGGGCTGGGGAAGTGGCTCAAGTGGTAAAGTGCCTGCCTACCAAGTTATGAGGCCCTGAGTACAAACCCCATGAAGGCAAAAACAAAAAACACAGTTTGTTCTATAAGAGCCCTGAAGAAAATCTTTTCACTCTTGTGCTAAAGTAACCTGGAACTCTTAATTGCTCATCTGCTTTAAGAAACCCCACATTTTTTAATTTCCCAAAATAAAGTTTATTCAATTAGTTCTATCTTCTATTTCCTATGTATATATGGAATAAGAATCCAACCAACTAAAAACAGAGATGTAAAGGTATTATAAATTGATGAGCTATCTCGGGTACATGCTGAACTTGGATTCACTTTTAATTCTTTTAATTAAAGGTTTCTCTTTACATCTTTATTATAAATAACTATAAATTAATAAAATAGACACATACCCTGAATGCTCTATTCTTCTCTTCTTTTTGCTGTTTTTCCACTTCAACATGGCGGGCTAGGCGAGCCAAAGTTAAAGCAACTTTATCCTTCTGATGATCAATATGGTCTTTGTGTTTAAAATTCTCCTACAGTGAAAAAACACAATTTCATCCCTTTTAATATACAACATTAGCACTTGTATCAAGTTGCTATTATATTAAAAATCATTTACTTCTGTTATATTTCCAAGAATCTATCTGACATATTTTATAGTTTTGTGATATTTTGTAGGTCAGACAATTGATATGATAAGGGAAAAAAATGGAATCAAATAAAACACTCAAAGAAAACCACAAAAGGCAGGAAAAGAGCACAAGACAAAAAGCAGGAGCAAAGAAAGGGTAACTAACAAAAAGTAATGAACGTGATAGATATTCAACAATGTCCATAATCACTTTAAATGTCAATGCTCTAAATACACCAATTAACATAACAGACAGTTGCCAGAATACATTAAAAAAAAAGAAGACCTAACTATATGCTGTCCATAAGAAATCTCTTTAAATTTAGTGACACAGATAAAAGACAAAGAGATGGAGAAAGACATATTTGCCAACACCCATCAAAAGAACGTGGAAGCAGTATTAACTCAGACAGAGCAGGGGAAGTTACCAGAGACAGCAAAGGGATAATACAACAATATGCAAGCAATTCTGCCCTGAAATTCCATAGCCTAGAGGAAATGGACCAGCTCCTCAAAAGACACAATCTGCCAGAACCTACGTGAGGAAAACAGACAATCTGAGTAATCCTGTCAATATTAAAGAAATTAAATCAGTAACGGATAACCTTTCAAAACAGAGAGCACCAAGACCAGATGCATTCACAGGTAAATTCTACCAAACGTTTAAGGAAAAAACTATACCAATTCTTTACAATCTCTTCCAGTACCCAAAAGCAAAGGATTCCTTCCTAATGTATGAAGCCACTATTATTCTAATGCCAAAACCAGACAAAAGCAGTATAAGAAAACTACATAGCAACATCTCTTATGAACATAGTAGATGGAAGAATTCTCAACAAAATCTTATTAGTAATGAAATGCAACAATGTACACAAAGAATCATATAACATAATAAAGTGGGACAGTTCCAGGTATGCAAGGTTGATTCAGCATTCAAAAACAAATTCATATAATCCATTACATCAGCAGATAAATAAAAGACCATAGGATTATATCAATAAATGTAGAAAATATCTGATAAAATCTAAAACTCAGCCATGATTTCAAAACACACACACACACACACACACACACACACACACACAAATTAATGGTGAGAAATTCAAAGCTCTCATACTAAGAAGCAAGGCAAGAATGTCTTCTCTTACTACTCTTTCAACACTGTACTGGAAACCAAGCTAATGAAGTAAGATTAGACAAGGCATAGAGACTAAAGAGAAAGAATTAAAACACCTTGTTTGCAGATAACATAATTATGTACAAAACACAAAAAAAATGACAACTAATAGTTGACTATAATGAGACTGTAGGATACAAAGCTAATCCACAAAATCAATTATTTACTACAAACTAGCAATAAGCAGCTGGAATTTGCTATTAAAAATATATCATCATGTCCATTACTATTCTCCCAAGTGAAATACCTAGGGACACAGCTTAACAAAACATACATAACATCTGTATGCAGAAAACTACAAAACCCTGATGAAGGAACTCAAATAACTACTACATAAAGTTCATGGATAGAAAGACTCAATATGGTCAAGATGTCAGTTTTTCCCAACTTGATCAATATATTAAATCCAATTCCAATCAAAATCCTGGCAGGTTATTTTGTATATACTGACAACCTTACTCTGAAGTTTATATAAACAGGCAAAAGACCCCTAAGAGCCAACTCAGTATTAAAAAACACAGTTGGAAGACTGACACTACTTGACTTTAATACTTACTATAAATCTACAGTAATCAAGGCTGTGTGGTATTAGCAAAATAATAAATGACTACATCAAGGAAACCGTAGAGTCCCAAAACAGACCCACATAAATATAATCAACTGATCTTTGACAAAGGAGCAAAAGCAATACAATGAAGAAAAGACTATTTGTTAACTAACATATGGTATGGGAACAACTAGACATCCACATACCAAAAAAAAGACTCTAGACCCATACCTTATGCCCTTCACAGACACACACACACACACACAAAAAACCCGAAAACAAAATAGACCACAGAACAAATCTGAGGAGGAGGGGAGGAGGGGGGGTGGGGAAAATGAGGAAGAGAAGAGAGAGAACAATAAGCTGGGTGTGGTGGAACACACTTGCAATCCTAGCACTCAGGAGACTGAGGTAGGAGGATCACAAGTTCAAATCCAGCCTGGGTTACATAACAAACTCCAGAAAGCCTGGGCTATATACTGAGACTTTCTCTCAATAAAATTTTTTTTTAAATGAGCCAGGCACCAGTGGCTAATGCCTGTAATTCTAGCTACTCAAGAGGCAGAGATAAGGAGGAACATGGTTCAAAAGCCAGCCTGGGCAAACAGTTCCCATGAGACACTATCTCGAAAAAACCCATCAGCAAAAAGGGATGGTAGAGTGGCTCAAGGTGTCGGCCCTGAGTTCAAACCCCAGTAATGCAAAAAAAAAAAAAAAAAAAAAGAGTACAGGGAGAAAATATGTGCAAGACACATGTAATTAAGAACTGTAATCCAACATACACAGCTGACTCGTAAAAATCACAATAAGAAAAGGAATAGCCAGATTTTTTAAATGAGCAAAGAAGATTCATAGATAGAAATTAGGAATATTAAAAAACGTTCAAAGCTGATGTGGTGGTGCACGTCTGTAACCCCAGAACCCTGAAGATCTTGAATTTGAGGTCAGCCTGAGCTGTTACAAACATATTCAACATTGTATGTTATTAGGGAAGTATAAATTAAAACAATAATGAGATATTAGACTAACCAAAATACAAAATACAACATTAAATGCTGGCAAGGATATAGAACCACTGGAACTCTTAGATCTTTCTGTAGAAATTCAAAATGATACAGACACTCTGGAAAACAGTTTGCAGTTTCTTTCAAGACTAAATATACCTCCTTGGTCTTTACCCAAGTGTACAAAAACTTATGTCCACAAAAAAACATGCACCCAATTGTTTCGAAGCTTTATTCATAACTGCCAAAACCTAGAAGCAATGAAGAGGTCCTCAGGTGCATCAATAAATAAACTTTGGTACATCCAGACAATAGAATAACTCAGCCATAAAAGATGAACTATCAAGCCACGGAGAGATATGGAAGAACCTTAAAAACATACTACTATATGAAAGAAGCCAATCTGAAAAGGCTACATACTGTTTGATTCCAACTTTATATAAATTTTGGAAAATACACAACTGTGGAAATAGTAAAAGGATCAATGGTTGCATGGACTTAAGAGGGATAAGGCAGCAGAGCACAGATGTTTAGGGCAGTGAAAATATTTTCACTATACTGAGGGGGGTGGATACATGTTATATCCCAGACAACAGTACACCAACAGTGACCCTTGTGAACTATGGGCTTTGATGATAATGATGTTAAAATGGTGATTCATTTATTGGTTTGGGATATCAACAGTGGAAAGGGGGCAGGACAGTATGAGAACCATCTGTAGTATCCACTAAATTTTTTCTGTGAACCTAAAACTACTTTTTAAAACTTTTTTGGGGATTATTTTAGAGCTGGGGGATGTACAGTGGAGAGGCTTGCCTAGCATGTGTGAGGCCTTGGGTTTGAGCACTAGTACCACTTGATCTTATTCGACTTCTTCTACAAGAAAAACTGGCTTACCAATAAACTATTGCTACTCTTTATGCAAATCAGTCACATGTACAAACCTATTTTTATTGAAAGTGGAATAGTATTGCATCATCAGTCAGATACTGAGTATGATTTTGCAAACAGATGTAAATTGTGCTGAAGGGAGCACATACAACCAGGCCAGTATGAGGCTACACCTCTGCAGCAAGCAATGCTCACAAAAACCACTTTGGGTAAAATAATCCTCACTTTCTGATTGCTTGATCAGCCCTAAAGCATTGTACTATGCAGTAGGTATCATTCTATTAACTTCAAAACATCCTTTCACAAGTCATGGGGAAATGCAGTTTGTTAGAAACACTGTTACCAAAAAATTTATTTGAATTTCGGCCCTTTAGTAAAGTCTATTTTATCTCTGTCTTCAAAAAATAGATTCACTCCTTGGGAAGACAAAAAAGTAGTATCTCTTTATTTAAAAGGTAGATATTATCTACCTATTAGAACAGATCCTATTTTTTTTTCTTCTAAAAATAATTTTTAATTGAAGGAAGTGGATTTCAACACAGGCCAACAATGTGTTAACTAACTTTCCTGAGAAAAGATTACATTTTTTTATGTTTAAACTCTAGCAAAAGTAATGCTTGGAAAACTTGGTAAACCGAGATTACATTAATACAGCATACATGGGCAAGATATAAATTCTTTACCTACAAAACAAAAGTATGGTGCACATCTGTAATCCCAGCATTATGGAGGCTGAGACAGGAAGATTTTGAGTCCCAGGACAGCCTGGCCTATAGAGAGAAATTCTGTCTCAAAAAAATAAACAAGAGAAGGAAAGAATTCTCCATTCTCCATTCTCCAACAAGGTGGCTGATATTCCTAAGCAAATCAGTATCCGATGCCTAAAATAATCTGAAGACCACAAGCTACAGAAAATTGCAATATCATCACAATTAGATATTTCAAGTCACTACTCTTACACCAAACCCACTCAAACATTAAGCCACTTATGCAGTCATGAGAGTGTCAAAGATGAGAAATGGTATTTCTGTCTCTGTGTGTAATTTCTCATGTGAACAAGAAGACAGCCAAGTTCTGATGGTTCTAGGATCATTTAACTTTTTCCTACTTCATAAACTAAAACCATTATGAATTACTTCTTAAGCTGCACTCATTCATAAAGTTCTACATAGTATTCTCTTAAAATTACTATAAGGCACACTTAATGATTCTCTCTTTTATATTCTAACTTACAGATATATCCTGGATGCAAAGCTAAATGTAAATTAAAATCAGAAACAGCA